CACAAAGAAGGGTAACACCTGTGTTAAAAAATTACAGCTATTTATCCTACTTTTTGTAAATTACTAAGTCTGGGTATTAATTCTATGGCTTAGAGCTTTGCTTATAGTTATTAAGTGAATTTATGTGGTTTTTAATTTTTTTTTCATTGGTTATAATCACTCTGTAAACTCAGATGTGCATAGTTAGTCGAACAATGAGATCGGTCCTTCTAATAACATACCACCTGCTGGGTTAAAATGGTCTCCATTTCAAATTTGAAAATAAATTGATTTCATTCATTAAAGGTTATCATAGACTTAATAGGCGGTTAATTCCATTAAAATATTTTATTCACCTCACAAAAATGCTTAACACGCAAATACACTTTTAAATATACTTCACATTGAAGTTGATATCTTATATATATGCTTTACTTTGAAGTAAATTAAAATTTAACATATGAAATACGTTTTTTGCTTTTTCCTTTAGATACTTGACATTTTTAAACAGTTATATCGATATATGTAATTGACCGTTTTTATAGATCAAATAGGTTTCATGAGGAAACGTTTGTTTGTGTCTTGCACTGTATGTAAGAGTATTTAATTGTTGACGGGTTTGTAGCTTTAAATTTTTTACTGTTTAGAGGCAAATGCAAAGATATCTCTTGTCTGCTATCTTTGATGAAAATTGGTTTCTGTGAATGCAATACAAATGTATATGATTTTTTTTCTGGTAGGATTCTACCTGCTCTTTTAATGAAAAAAAACCCCCAATATCATCTTGTTGTCCATATGCATTTTTTAGGGATATACTTTCAAAGAAAGGGTCGTTACACATATTCTCTGATTGAATCCATGCTGTGAATAAATTGTAGCCATCTTTAGGTGATCCATATAGAATATCTAACAGTGCTACGAACATAATTATTATGAACGGCACCCATTTAATAAAATAAAAGCACGAGAGTTAGTCAGAAAAGGATTATCTGCCACCATTATGGGGTAATAACACAGGCACTACAGTTTTTTTCACGATTGGAAATCACGCCTAAATATACGGGTGGCATCAATCAACGAATTTGACAATCATAATAACCAGCGTTACAAGAATATTGCAACTGTGCGTTTACTGATTCAGTCTACATATTCAAGAAAATACTGAATGTGTACAAAACCGAACAACAAAAGATTAAGCAATAACAACTATTAGTGAACCAGTCCTCATTCATCTATACAACTGTTCAATCGATGTGTGAAACAGTTATAAAAATATACTAAAGATCAAAATGAAACATTTTATTCAGGCATTAAAAGACATCACAGATATCAATACATGACGTAGTTTATGAATTTTAAAATGTTCTATTTTTATTTAATTCTATTTTTTTTCTTTTTTGCGCTCTCGCGTGTAGCGTTGATTGTTGCTATCGAACTGTAAACTCGATAAATCTCCGCTATCACCTTGATCGGATATTTCGCAGACCTAGAAAAAACTCGACACTTTCTTGTAAACGGAACTGATATTTATTAGTCTAATCAGTATTTTCTTTGCAAGATCAGGATTTTTTGTGATGTTGATGGGTAGCATGCTACTATACTCGAAAATCAAGTTTATTTTCCCTTTAAAATCTCAACATACAACAAGTCTTCAATTCCTCAATCGAGTTTTTATCAGTACACACACTTCAATCTTTATCAAATGATTTCTTTATCTTTTAATTTCATGCATTTTTATCGCTATATTCAATCTTCGCCAATTACCATAATCATTAACCTGTCAAAATACCACACTCCACGTTTTACCTTCTAAATGCATTAGTTTGTTACTTCTTCATTGAAATCGATCCGTATTGCATCGATTGCTTGGACCTGACATTTGTCTGTGTAGCATATTTACATCCATTTTAAATATTTCAAATATAAACTTATTTTCCACATGGACTAATCTAAAGTGTATAGGTCTAATGGATATCGGTCAAGAATATTGCATGGTTTCCATGTGTTACATCACAACACCAGTATTTCCAAAAAAAATGTCTTTGCTTCAGAGAAGGCAATTATTAGCAAATGAACAGTGTGTTAATGAGCTCATTAGGATATTCCTATTAGCTTTTTCTTCACAATCATGTATTTTTATTAGTTCCGCCTAAAGCAGAAATCTTACAAAAAAGCAAAACTTGGAATTTTGCCGTCGTTCATCAGCTAAAGCGTTCAATAAGTAGAAAACTTCTAGAGAAACTATTTAATGAAGTGATGCTACATTAATTCATTTGTCAAAGTTCTATGTCTTCTTTGATAGTTTCGTGCCTACAGGTATTAATTAACAGGTATATGGTTTCTTCCTCGTCTGCCTTGAAGTGTTCAATTAATTCCGCGCTGTCAAATTTTTTTCAGAAGAAGAATTCTGTTATCTTTCCAATTGCTGTTTTCTTTCATTGATGCATTGACAGTTGTAAAATAAACACTATGTTTTCATCTGCACCATTTAACATTTGAGTGAACTTTCTTTGCTCCCTGACAACATTGTTGAAATGTGCTGTCAGTTATAAGCCGGAGAAAGAATAGTTGATCAGTGTCCAACATTGGAGTTTTTAACGGCATTTTTTTCATCAATAATGTAAAAGTACTTTGATTTCTTGGTCATATTTTGGGTATTTGTGAACCGTCGAGTATTTGGTTAAAGTATGTGTTTCATAACATGAGGCTATTTTCCACTTCTACGTTGCTTTACTATTTATTTTTATTTACTCTTTTCTTTCTTTTTTAAACGTTGGGAAAGGGTAATATTTAATATGTTGAAAAGAAAATACAATCATCTGCTTTTCGGAATCCTTAGCTTCAGTTCTTTAGTATTTGTTGCTGCATGTACATTTTAGAAATAATATGGGATTACTTAAATTCAACATTAAATTTGTTTCTGACATTTGCAGTTGTATTGTCTTTTTTATCGTGGACATTGTTTCTATGTGCATATTATATTCTATAATTTAGCAGCAAAACAATGTTCCGAAAAGCAATACATTGATTAATTATAAAGCATATTGTTATTACCGACACGAGCCTGGCAGAAGATACCACACAGGCTACTAAGTGTTTTGCACGCTACCTTCTGCTTCTGGACAATAAATTATTTTCAATTACAGATAAACAGATAATAATTCAGTTGTATAAATATAAAGAGGTCTCCATTAATGCAATGTTCCTTTGATCTGAGTGGAAATGATGTCGAATGATTTTGACATATATTTCTAGTTCTGATAAGCACACTTTAAAAAGCAAAAAACTACATAAATTAAATTCAAATTTCTTGTTGTATAAACTCTATTTAATAGCATCTACTATACCGATATAATGAATGATGTGGTCACAATATTACCTTTATTCGTTTTAGGTTTTCCAAAAACTGACAAAAAGTATTAGGTTTTCATTTGATTTGTTGACAGGTCAGAAGTATTTAAATGATTTTGTCAAATTATGGTAAATTTACACGCAGATAATCTTTGAAAAAATTTGATACCTTCCAGGGGATGCTATCGATTTGTTAATATTTGGCTTCCAGTATTGAGTTGAAATGTTAAAAATGCGTCATATTTCTAATAAGATAGATTGACGAATTTTTATACGTTCTTCATAGACATATTATGATATGCCGTTGTCGGCCTGTCCACCCGCCGCCCGTCCACACGTCGTAAAAAGCAAGAGAACGTTTTTATCAAATTTTATTAAACTTGCATGGAAAATTTCAATTGTTGAAAGTAATCTCCGTTTCGAATTATTTTTTTATTGAGAGTTTAGGGACAATAACCGTCAAATTTAAGGCATTTTGAATTTACATTTATTGCGAACTAGCTCGATTTTCACATATATTGTGCACTAACTCGACTATGCTCTTACTGATTTACTTAAAACTTTACACAAGTGTTGGGATTAATGAAAGTAATCTAAATTTGGATTTAGAAAATTTCCGATATGCAATTTCAGAGTTTGTTACTTTTACCGTCAGGTTTGAGACAGTTCTTCACATGTCTCGAACTTACATGAGCATGCTTATATCACATTAACTACATACTGTTTATTACATTGGTGAAAGTCAATTCCCTTTCCGATTCTGGTATTTTTCTTATCTGACATTTCAGAGGTGTGGGATTTTGACTCTCAAGTTTAAGGCAATGTTCATACGCCAAAGAATAAACCCCGTCATCGCTGTTTCTCATTCTGATTAAATTCTTCTTCACTATTCTATTTTATTCTTACAACATTTTAAAAATGCATTAGACGGGCGTATGATGCGCTCCTGGTGCAGCTGTTAATTATTATTAATAATTATTTTTAAAGTCTCATATCAGATTAAACGGTCTATTTTCCTAATATCTACATACAGTGAAATTAGATATCTCGTTATTTATCAATAACGAGTTCAAATGCAAAGGAGAACCGAAAGATACCAAAGGGTCATTCAAACTCATTAGTCGAAAACGAAGAGACAATGCAATGGCAAAATACTAAAAACGATCAAAAGACAAACAACAGTTTACAAAACACAACATAGAAAACCAACAAGTAAGCAACACGAATAATTAATCCTCCCCTTGGTTTCGTCTTAAGCTGCCCACATCAACTAGGGGAGGTCTGGGTACAATGCCGGATGCAGGATTAAGAAAGAGATTTTAAAATTGATATTTTGTCAGACTAATGTGATCGGGTACGGTGCAATGCATAGCTATGGACTGAGAAGCCAGTTCATTTTAAATTTCACTAGGTAAGTAGGTCTTTTTTAGACCAGGTTTCATAATAAAAATCAGTTGACTACGTTCTCGTCTTGCATATGATTGAAGGTTGCCCATTAGACGTCAAATATACATATTTGCATCTAAAATGCCACGTCACAACTTCAGTAGTTCGTCACCATTTTAGAATCACACGTTGTGTGTACACACATAACTTTACGGACAGCATCACTAAACATAATTCTACCGAGGTAATATGTTTTCGTAATTTTTTTTTTCTTATCTTTACAGATATTTGATTGTGACTTTCCTCTATCTACCGTTGAATATTTCCATTCTGGATCACCATTACTATCAGAAGACCAGATCAAATTTCGTGCATACAAATTTACAAAATACTCGACAGAAATCGAAAACTTTTATGTGAATGTAAGAATTTTAAATTCTACAAACGATTTAGTGAGGACTCGTGGACTCCGGTCTGTAGTAGTTCCAGAGGCAAAAGCAATATCAAACAATATCGACTCAACAGTGTTAGGATTTAATATTAAACATTTTCCGAATACGTCATGCAGCGTTTCATTCTCACGTCATCGAACGGTATGGCCAATTGCAGGTCAACTTATAATGGGAAACTCACGTGACCCTGTGGACACTTTTAAAAAATCATGTCATGAATTTTTACTTTCGCAACTTCATTACCAGCATTTAAAACCTCACAGTCCAGACGTTGATTACATTCCTCTTAAAATCGAGCATTATGATTCACTAACAAGTAACGAGCCCAATGTAGAAAATTTCTTCCTTCCGGTCTATATAAAAGATGTGCAACCAAATTTTCCTCCGACATCTTCACATCGTAGTCTTTACATGATGGATGTAGACGAATTTGTTTTATCTTCAATTATTCCAGGAGTTATATTTGCAGAAGATTATGAGACGCCAAATTCCAAACTTGTATACAATATAAGTCATCCTCCCGGAGAAAACGAAGGTTATTTCGTAAATTTAGATGATCATACAACGCCTATAACGTCATTCCTACAGACCGATATCGAAAATGAACGAATTGCATACCAACCACCGGGTGTTAGTTATCTCGAACAAAGAATCTATAAAGTCGGTTTTACCGTTTTTGATAGTCATTTTGCTCATAGTCAGTCGATATTTTTACACATAGCTGTGAGATCATCTGCAACGTCAGCACCAAAAGTGTCGAAAAATAGTGGTTTGATAATACTTGAAGGTCAATCTCGAACAATAACACAAGATAACTTACGTATAGTTGACAGAAACAATTTGAATAAAGTTCGACTCTATGTAACGGGTGGCCTTTTACACGGTCGCATTGAGGTTAATAGCAAGCAATCACTATATTTTTCCGTAGAAGACTTGCAGCGAAAATCTGTGGTTTACATTCATGACGATAGTGAAACAACTAAAGACCGTATAGACCTCCGGATAAGTGACGGTGTTAATACAGTTCTCACTAATTTTCCTATAACAGTGATACCACGTGATGATACATCACCATATGTAGTAAATAATTTAGGTTTAGAATTAAACAAAGGAGGAATCAAGCAGTTTAACACCGATATACTTAAAGCACATGATGTAGATACTGTTGATACCAATATTATTTTCGTTATCGTTCATCCACCTGAAGCTGGGGAAATATTACGCCGACTTCATGTAGCTGAGACAGGAACTCGTGTAACAAGATTTTCTCAACATGACCTTAGACGTGGTGCTATTTATTATCGTCATTTTGGCCGAGAGATGTTTATTGATTCATTTCAGTTTAGATTACGGGATCAACACGAGCCACCAAATAAATCAAATGTCGAAACTTTCCATATAACTATTAACCAAGTAAATGAAAATCCACCAGAACTTTCTCCGGATGCCACACGCTTAATGCATGTGCTAGAAAATGACATTGCATATGTTACTAAGGCAGAATTACAGTACACAGACAAAGAAACCGATGACAACCAGTTGACCTATATAATTACAGCACCACCTTATTTTGTTTCCAATAGAGGAAACGAAGATGCTGGTCGGTTAATAGCAACTCACAATATGTCAATGGTATCTAAAGACCAATCACAAAAAGAGATACGTACCTTTAAACAAGAGGACATCAATCACATGAAAATTGCTTATATGCCCCCATTAACTGATATCGGACCAGGCGCGCGACTAGTAAGATTTGTTTATACGGTACAGGATTCCAGTGGAAACCGGGTCCTTGGTCAGTACTTTGACATCGATGTTCAACCTGTTAATGATAAAGCTCCGACTTTTGTAACGTCTAAACTTTTGGTGGAAGAAGGTGGAATTCTGGGAATAACAAAAGATCATCTATCAGCAACAGATGTTGATACGAGATCAAATGACTTGTTTTTTATCGTCGAAGCTACTCCATCGTTTGGTGTCCTGCAGAAAGCTGGTGATATCATGAAAGTTGACAGTACATTTAACTTGAAAGATCTCAAGAAGAAACGTATCAGGTAAATGGCTTGAAAAAATAATTTTTATGTATACATTTGAATAATGATGTTCCACATTAAGTACATTTAGTTAATTGATGAATTAAGGAGGCACTGTCAATTCAGAAAATGGGATAGGCAAAACGAGACCAAGATAGCAAAAAACAAAGGCAAAAATAAATGAAGACATAGAAACCTAAACATTCATTAATATAAAGTTTCAATGAAACATGAATTAACTAAGATGATTTGTAAGGATAAGGGACTACAAAGTTAATTTTGGTAAAAATCCAAGTAAAAGTTACTTGATCAAATCAAGTTTCATGCCATTATCTTTAACGTGTGGAATGATCACTGATGATGTGAACTGATGTAAGATATTGTAAAGTCTTAAAGTAAATATAAACCTAGATTTTTCCTGATAAAACAAAGCTGTATATTTTACTAATAATTTGTTGTTTTATAAAAGCAAAAGATTAATTCTCACCAGTGACATAACGAATATTTGAAGATTAACCTCACACATGAAAATTAAAAATTATCAGTTTAAGATTTAATAGTGAAGAGTAATCATTTGTCAGGTCTGAATTGGGAATTACTGAATTGGCACCAAATTTATCATCGAGAAAGTTAATTATTGTCAATTCATACATCAAAATAATTCGAAATTTATATCAGTATAAACGATTTTTATACGACCGCAAACATTTTTGCGGTCGTATATTGGTATGACGTTGGCGTCGTCGTCGTCGTCGTCGTCGTCGTCGTTGTCGTCGTCGTCCGGCGTCGTCCGAAGACACATTGGTTTTCGCACTCTAACTTTAGTTAAAGTGAATGGATCTCTATGAAGTTTTACCATAAGGTTCAATACCACAAAAGGAAGGCTGGGATTGATTTTGGGGGTTATGGTACCAACAGTTAAGGAATTAGGGGCCAAAAAGGGGTAAAAAATAAGCATTTTTGTAACTTCCAGACATAACTTGTGTGTTAGTGTATGGATCTCTCTGACATTGTACCACAAGGTTCCATATCACAATTGGAATGCTGGGATTGATTTTGGGGGTAATTGCCTCAAAATATTAGGAATTAGGGGCCAAAAAAGGGGAAAAAACAAGCATTTTTCTAGTTTCATGACAATAACTTGTGTGAAAGTGTATGGATTTTTCTGAAATTGTACTACAAGGTTCCATATCACAAAGAGAAAGCTGGAATTGAATTTGGGGGTAATTGCTTGAAACATTTAGGAAAAAGGGGCCAAAAAGTGGCCAAAAATAAGCATTTTTCTAGTTTCAAGACAATAACGTGTGTTCAAGTGTATGGATCTCTCTGAAATTGTACCACAAGGTTCCATATCTCACAGGGAATGCTGGGATTGATTTGGGGGGTAATTGCCTCAAAATTTTAGGAATTAGGGGCCCAAAAAGGGGCAAAAAACAAGCATTTTTCTAGTTTCATGACAATAACTTGTGTGTAAGTGTTTGGATATTTCTGAAATTGTACTACAAGGTTCCATATCACAAAGGGAAAGCTGGAATTGAGTTTGGGGGTAATTGCCCGAAACGTTTAGGAATTGGGGGCCAAAAAGGGGCCAAAAAACACATTTTTCTAGTTTCCAGACAATAACTTGTGTTCAAGTGTATGGACCTCTCTGAAATTGTACTGCAAGGTACCATACCACAAAGGGAAGGCTGGGATTGAGTTTGGGGGTGATGAATCATAAGGGGGTTCAAAAAATTTGGGGGGGGGGATTTTTTTTTTTCCTTTTTTTTCTTTTTTTCCTTTTTTTTTCTTTTAAAATTTTCCATTTTAAGTTGGTTATTTCTGATTTATATTTAAAAGCAAATAATAATGATATGGTAGGAGATACATACCAAACAGGATGTGTAAATTATTATATAATAAGTATTGTGCAATAGCAAGAAATTTTCAATTGCACAGTATTGCGCAATAGCAAGAAATCTTCAATTGCACAGTATTGCGCAATAGCAAGAAATATCCAATAGCACAATATTGCGCAATAGCAAGAAATTGTCAATTGTGCAGTATTGCGCAATAGCAAGAAATAATCAATTGCACAGTATTGTGCAAAAGAAGCTATTTCATATAAATTGCTTATTTTTTGACCAATTGCAATGGGGTTTTATTCTTGAATTCTTGGGGTTCTTTAATATGCTGAATCTAACCGTGTATTAAGTTTTTGGATTTTGGGCCCCGTTTTTAAATTGGTCCACATTGAGGTCCAAAGGGTCCAAAATTAAACTCTATTTGATTTCATCAAAAATTGAATTATTGGGGTTCTTTGATATGCCGAATCTAACCGTGTATTTAGATTCTTAATTTTTGGTTCCGTTTTCAAATTGGTCTACATTAAGGTCCAAAGGGTCCAATATTAAACTAAGTTTGATTTTAACAAAAATTTAATTCTTAGGGTTCTTTGATATGCTGAATCTTAACATGTATTTAGATTTTTGATTATGGGCCCAGTTTTCAAGTTGGTCCAAATCGGGGTCCAAAATTAAACTTTGTTTGATTTCAACAAAAATTGAATATATGGGGTTCTTTGATATGCTGAATCTAACCATGTATTTAGATTTTTGATTTTTGGGCCCCGTTATCAACTTTGTCCACATTGAGGTCAAAAGGGTCCAAAATTAAACTTTGTTTGATTTCATCAAAAATTGAATTCTTGGGGTTCTTTGATATGCTGAATCTAACCATGTATTTAGGTTTTGGATATTGGACCATAATAGGTGAATGTCCAATTTAAAATTTTTAAGTTCTTAGACCACATTCATTCTGTGTCAGAAACCTATGCTGTGTCAAATATTTAATCACAATCCAAATTCAGAGCTGCATCAAGCTTGAATGTTGTGTCCATACTTGCCCCAACTGTTCAGGGTTCGACCTCTGCGGTCGTATCAAGCTGCGCCCTGCGGAGCATTTTATTAACATTTCAATTGAAGTACATATTCAAGGGATATGTTTATATATTTATAGTACATGAAATAAACGTAATATCTGTAAAAAGCTGGACACTAGTGTTTAATAACAAAGGGCGCTGCTGTAAATTTTGTAGCTTTCATTGGTAATAACAAACTACTGTTTTAAGGTTTTAATTACTAGTATTTGTTTTTCATAGGATGAATTGATGAAGAAAGGGCAAAATAAGTTTTGTGTATCTTAAATATCATAAAAACTTGATGCTACTGAAATAGTAGTAATAATTAAGAAAAAAAGTACTATGAATACATTTTTTACCACTAGAGGCTAACTACGTATATATTGGTTATATTGAAATGTAAGATACAGATTCGTACAATAATTGCAATATTTAGAAGAGATATATATCTGTTGAAAAACCTTAAATCTAAAGCAGCTTTATGCTAACATTTTTATTGAGGTTAACTCGGTAATCTGAAAAAAATATCCACTGTAATTGTAAAAGAAAATGCTTAGATTTTACCATAGAAACAGTTCCAGACAAAAGAGAAAAAATTACAAGAAATTATATTTAATGACTTTTCCTGACCAAAGCAAATTTCTTTGAAGTTGACTCCGTTGAAGTTTGTAATGAACACCAGTATTAACTATCTTTTGATGTTTTATAATCGTAAAAATACGTCTCTTTTGCCTTCCACAATAATAACTAAATCAATATCTGATGTAATATTCTTTCAATGAAACATCTAAAACAAACAATAATACCACATAATCAAACTTTCACCATACCATAAGTATTTAAAGCCTTTCCATTCACAGGCTCCAACTTTCGATATTCTTGTTAGCTTTATGCTTTGTAAATATTGATGTTGCCTGCAAGAAATAAGGAATGGCATGATGTTCATAGGTTGCGTTTTATGATCATTAATTATTACTGTATGTTTAAAGTAATTTGTAAATGATAATTAATCTAATGAAAGAAAAACATTTCCTGACATTTTTTCAATTACAAAATAATTTGTCTGTGCACGAAATCCCCATCTAAATCATCATTTTTTAAAACATTCTTCTTTAGCAAAGAGTATTGAAGAGTTTGAGGATCATCGAAACGAAAATGTAGATACAATTTTTACATATACTAAATGACATAGCGGAAATTCCGAATGAGCACACCTATTGTAAAAGTATAGAGTTGAAGATATTTGACGAGACACGACATTTTTGTTTACGGATTGTTGTCAGATCTTATTTATAAAAAAATAAATTTTTAAGGTAATACACAACTCCCTAGGTATCTATGCTTACAGTAAATCTTGGCTTTTTTTATTTCAAAGCAGTGCCTAATTTTACATTTGTAGGTATGTAAACGATGGGTCCGACGTTGTATTGGATACGTTCACACTGACACTGTCTGATGGAATCAATAGAGCTACTAAAGTTATGACCGTTGACATTGTGCCTCTAGATGATGAAAGTCCACAGCTTGGAAAGAATCTTCGACCTAGGCTTATAGTTTCTGAAGGTTCGGAAGCATTGATTACTTCATCTGTATTGTCAGCTACTGATGTAGACACTGATGATAAAAAATTAGTTTTTCTTATTATTAAACAACCGAAACATGGTGTAATGCAACTGAACAACCGACCAGCAACGAAATTTACACAGAAGAACGTCAAAGATGAGATTGTTAAGTATATACATACAGCAGGTGAAATAGGAACAGCAATAATGAAGGATAGTGTGACTTTTATTGTATCAGACCAGAATTACCTGGCAACAGCTGATCTACCTGTGTATGATTTGAATATAACGATAACACCAATTGATAACTCCAAACCAACAATTATTACGGGAAGGGAGGTCTCTGTTAAAGAAGGAGGTAGTATAACATTAACCCCAGATATCATTACAGCAAAAGATCCTGATACTGCACCAGAGGAAATACAGTTTATGATTGTTCGTCAACCACAGTGGGGATATATTGAGAATATAAAACCCACTCCAGGATCAGAAAAATCTAATAGGGGCAGAAGAATTGCAACATTCCGTTTACAAGACATAATAGATAATTCAGTTAACTATGTACAAGCAACTCATAAAGGTGTGGAACCAGTTTACGATGACTTGGAGGTTTATGCTACAGATGGAAACCATAGATCCCCGGTTAAAATGTTTGGTATTCGAATACTACCTCAAAATGACGAAGAGCCAACAGTCATGTTGCATGACTTTAGTCTTAATGAAGGCGACAGCATGATGATAGACAAATCTATGGTAGATGCAGTGGACATGGATATGCCGAAAGATAAGTTAAATTTTGCAATATCTCAACCCCCAGAACATGGAAATATTGTTGCAATGATTAGAACACGTCGTGGAGATGTCGAGGCAGAAATACAGGATTTCAGTTTAGAAGAATTACATTCAGGATTACGTCTTAAATACAAACATGACAATTCAGAAAACTTTCATGATAGGTTTGCCGTCACTGTATCAGATGGACGACATGAAGTTAAACGCCTTTGTAATATATCTGTTAATCCATTGAATGATGAAAGACCAGAAATAACCAAAAATGCTGGTCTTCAATTAGAGTATGGAGACTACGCCATGATATCAAGTGTTGTTTTACAGTCTACTGATCCTGATAACAGCGAAAACGAAGTTTATTATATTGTTACCTCTGTTCCTACAAAAGGTTCGTTACAATTTTGTTCTGATCCCTACATCCCAGCACGTGTATCAGAATGTAAGGACCTTCCAGTTGGATCCAACTTTACCCAATATGACATAAATATGAATCGTATCAGGTACGTGCATACGAGAAGAATGGGAAATTCTGAAACAGACAGCTTTCGTTTCCTATTGTCTGACGGAAGAAATAAGAGACATATTGAAACATTTGAAATTAGAATAAGAAATTCACAGAAAGCAAATCTAGCCCTTTTGAACAAAGGTTTAGAAGTAAGGGAAGGCGAAAGGACTCCAATAACATCTTCTAACCTTAGCGCTTCTGATGAATCTACTAAACCTGAAGAAATAGTATTTGCTATTATTAAACCACCAAAACATGGACAAATTGAAAATGTTTACAAGCCTTTACTGAGTATAACAAGTTTTACACAATTAGATATAGCCTCCCAGAAAATTGTTTATAATCATTTGAAAAAGGGTGATAAAACAAAGGATTCTTTTTCATTTACTGTTACAAATGGTTTAAGTCAAGCAAAAGATGGTGTATTTCAAATTGAAATAGAACCACTTGATAGAATTCTACCATCGTTGAAAGCCCACAGTCTCATTGAAGTATCACAGGGAAGTGACATTGTTTTAAATTCTGGGCATCTTTTGGCAGAAGATCCGGATACACCTAGTATGAATGTAACATACCTTATTGCTAAACCTCCAACATATGGTCATTTATACAAGGGAGGACTTGTCGAGACGAAAAGTTTCACACAAAGGGATGTTGATTTAGGTTACATGACATATGAAAGTGATATTTCATATGCAGGACTCGACAATTTTTTATTCAGCGTATCTGACGGTCGCCATACAGGATTCTTGTTGAATGATACTCTTCAAACAAATCCTGTCATATGTAGTATATTTATAAATCCAACTGTAAATGATGCACCAAAACTAATCGTTAATAGTCCACCTGAAACATTGGAGTATTTTGGGCAAAACAAATATGGCTTTAGACTTTCAAGTCGTAATCTGAAAGCAGTGGACTCTGATACTGACAATAGCAGACTGATGTACATTATTGTAAAGCGTCCTTTGTATGGTCACATCCAGAACGTAGCAACTAAACGATTTGTAAGACGACGATTCACACAGAAAGATCTGGATGAGAACAGCCTGCTTTATGTACTGACTAATAATAAGGAATCAAACGTCCGCGACAACTTTATATTTCGAATATTAGACAGCAGAGGAAATAGTTTGGACGAGATAAAGTAAGTACCAGTGAGGACCTTTTGTGTAAGGAAATTTATTGAGTTTAGTAAATATGGGAAAAGATGTTAGGTGTACGTTAACAAGACAGCCACTCAATATTAAAACAAAGTCAAAACGACATTAAGACTTTTAAGTATGAAATTTTTAATAATGTGGTTATCAAGGGTAAAATCTGTCATTTTGATGATTCAATAGCATGTTTTACTAAATGGTCACGATTTCATGACTACAACCAGCAATCTGAAAAACCAGACAAAAATGCCATTCAAGCGTTAAGAAAATCGATGAAAAAATATCTAGCGCACATGTTTCATGCAATATTCATCGTTCATTGAAATCGATCGAACAAAAGAGACAGACAATCAAAAGTTAAAACACCTGAAGATCACCTGTGCCACACAAGATAAAGAATGTACTTTTCTAATGCAGAATCACACAATAACATGAAGAGAGTTGTAAAACATTTAACATGAAACCCTCCACCTTTTAACCTTTTATCTACAAAATGTTCTGTTCAACTTATACCAACAATCAAATACTTTGTACTTGTAAAACTCCATGCTGTCAACATGAATATTCACTTGTTTAAGTATGGGTAACATTTTTGGGCTTGCAAATCGTTGGGTTTTTTTATTTTGTGTGAACGACTTTTTATATAAATTACTAAATATCGTATTCATAATTTACTTTTTACAGGTTTCAAGTTAGCTGGTCTATTATTGAATTTGAAAAGAAAGACCTGGTGGTGTGTGAAAATGTTGGTACACTGAGCGTTAAACTACTTAGGAAAGGTGCACTAGACAACATGGCTTTTGTTGGGGTATCTATAAAGGAAATGTCGGCAACAGAGGGTGTAGACTTTGTTCCAAGCACTGCTCAGCAAGTGCAGTTTAATCCAGGTACACTTTATACACTAAATTGTAAAATAACAGTAGTATATTATAAATGATAATTGAATATTGCAAAACTGCTATTTCCTCGTAGTATTGGTTTGTAGGCAAATAATATGATTAAAGGGTAATACCTGAACTCATTAATAAGACAACAACAATCGAACAATAAACGACATAATGGAAAAAGTCCCATGGGAGATAACTTATAACGCGACAATGAACGTCCACTGTCCTTTTGTAGCTAGTTTGAATTTGATTATGATGACGTCGTTATCAGCAGAAATTAAAGTCTTACAAATAAAACACTGCTCAAAAATACAAATCGAATGAGTTATGACTAAAACATTTTGTCGTTTTCAAATGAAACAGAAGACAAAGATTTGTTTTGTCAGCATTGCTGTCTTTTTGTACTGCACATTCGAACGTTGAGAAAACGCCCTGAAATCTACAGGAACCTTTTTTATATTTTTTTTTGTTTTAAATAAGCTCGTTGACATTTATTATTCGTGTTATTGTTTCAAAATGCACTATGAAAAAAAGAAATATTAGAAAAATGACAATACCAGAACCTTGTCGCAGGTTAGGTGGAGGCTTTAGCGCTCACAAACAAGTTTAACCCCGCCACAATCTATATGTTACTGTCTCAAGTCAGGAGCTTTTTTTAGAGGTTGTCGTTGGTCGCTGTCTGTTACATTTGTTTTTCGTTTATTGTTTTATCATAAAAAAAGGCCGTTTGTTATTTTCTCGCTTGAATTATTTCACATTTTGTCATGTTGCTTAAATCCGCTTCATTTTTAATAGTTGTCTCATTGACAATCATACCACATGTCCTTATTTTATACAGTAGAACGTTTAAGCCTGCTTAAACAAGGTCAGATATTTTGGCATGTTAAAAACACAAATTTTGAAATGAAATAGTTAACCGTTTACATTTTTTTTTATTTTCCCTTGTTGCCTATTTATCAGAGCGTTTGAATAAAAGTAAGCTGACAACGTAATAGCGTGCCAAAAAGGCCATGTGATAGAAAATCTGAATTGTCAAAACATTTCAACAAAATTCAAAACTTCCCATTTTTGGACGGGTTGGACGAAGTCCAAAACCGACTTATAGTATGGTTATGTCGGGCTGAAAAGTGTGAACCTAGTTTGGGTGAACTCCTGCTACAGTTTTTAACCCAGATCCCTGACGGACACTTCACAGGAAGATTGCACATATGTTAAAATTGTGCACCTGCTATTATGGAATTGTTTGAGGATTTTTATCTTATTTTTCCAGACTTGGGAACTTAGTCATTTTTCAGCAAATTTGATGAAAGAGGGTACAAGATTTGTGTAATCATCTCCTCCAATAGTTTTCAACCCAAATTCATGAAACTTCACAGGAAGATTGCACATATGTTGCAGTTGTGCACCTGCTATTATAGAATTGTTTGAGGACTTTTTTTTCTCATTTTCCGGACTTGGGAACTTAGTAATTTTCCAGCAAATTTGATGAACGAGGGTACACGATTTGTGTAATCAACTTCTCCACCAGTGTTCGACCCAGATCCCTGAAACGTCACATGAAGATTGCACATATGTTGAAGTTGTGCACCTGCAATCATGAAATTGTTTGGGGATTTTTTTTCATTTTTATCAGACTTGGGAACTTAGTCATTTTTGAAATGTTTAAATGTTAAGTATATAGCATTCTCCATTGTTGAAGAAACATTCTGTGCAACCCGTCCACTTGAGTCTTGATCTATTTTTAGGCTTATTTTTCTCGAATACGAGCACGGTAAATGAAAATAACACTTTATAAATTGTGTGCTTCAAACTATACCTATGCTCTATTATATAAATTTTCAAAGATCTCCTCCCGGTCTACGTTATATATAACAAAATTGCAAAATATGACAATAAATGATAAACTGTATTTACTCCAAATCTAAAGTGATTAACAAGTAAATGAAATAATTAAATAACCCGGTCTCGCTGTTTTTGGAACCAAGCGATTCCCTCAATTTTTTTTTGTTACCTTGGTTTGACTTTTCTAAATCGATTAACGAGATTTGAACATCGGTAAACTACTGTCGCCTTAATCTATTTCTGTGGATCGTTATGATAATAAGTATATATTTATTATAACATTAACCTATTATATCTGTTTGGGTTGCTAATCCAATTTTGTCAGTATGACGGAACTACAAACAACTGTCATACAAGTGGGACATTTAGCTAGCTATAAAACCAGGTTTAATCCACCATTTTCTTCGGAAAATGCCTGCACCAAGTCAGGAATATGACAGTTGTTTTTCATTCGTTCCGTTGGTAGATAAAGTCCAGCGTTTGATTTTGTCAGTTTTTATAGACTTCCCCTTTTTGAATTTACATTGGAGTTCTGTATTTTTTATTACTTTTTTATTATCTAAACATTTATATTTTTCAGGACAAGGACAAGCTGTATGGGATGTGAGAATTCCCGACGATGGGCTATTGGAGATAAACGAAAAATTCCGAATTGTTCTTGAGGAACCTGTCAATGCGATTATAGGGGAGAAGGATCGTGTTACAGTTCGAATAATTAATGCCGAGAGTGGTATGGTCTTTTCTTTATTAACACTAGAAAAATGAAAACAACGGTTAATTATAAATTTTCGGTTTTCTGGCAAACAAATAATATTTTAAACACATAAATTTTTACTAAACCCAGCATCCATCCTATTATGTATAGATGACACAGTCTGAAGTTGTTGTTCAGAATCACGCATCTTTCATTGTCTAATCGCCTAAAGTCAACTTTGCATTACGGAGTAAAAATTAATTGAGAACTTATCAGAGTATATTTATTTTGATAAAACATGACCGTATATTGAAATGCCATTATTATGACACGAGATATAACTCTCTTGTAAATATCATGTACTAGGATCATGTAGTTTAATACTTGTTTTAAGGGGAATGCCCACAATACCTTGGAATGATATCAAAAGATCAAACAGAGTTAGTTGACATTGATGATTTTCTTTTACCTGCTAATGGAAATACAGATACTTTTATTAAGGTAAGCAATATTTTGGTTCTTTAGCTCTAATCGTTTTTCTTCACATTAATCACATTAGTGTTCAAAGACAAAAGTGTTGCGTGATTTATTTGTTATCAAAGAAGAAAAATACTCATATAGTTAACGCAGACCACAAGTTCATTTCTATGAATCTAATAGTTCTGGTTTTTATCTTTTCGAAACGAGACACTGATGTGAAATTAATTCGTTTAATACTAATACATATAGCTTCACAAGATACAATTATTGAAAACATACAATGTCCACATGTTTCTTGAATTAAAAATAAATATAAGAAATTGCCTACAATACTCAAATTGGACACAAAGACATAAGCTAATGGTGAATTGAAATTCACCATTAGCTTATGATTCAATACCAGAATCTTAATAACGATTTCGCTAGAATTATGTCACTGCATAAAACTCAGACGTCAAAAGGACAGATGCAGATATGTTCGATCTGTATTATGTTTCGGTTTTCTAACATAATCATTATCTAAACGAGCAGAGCGGGTGATATGGAAGTGCTATGTTTTTCTGTTCGACATTTCAAACACTGTAAACTTTGTAGATTTCGAAGACTTGTAAGAAAGATTTATATAACAAATTCTCAGTCGAATTATGCATAATTACTTGATAATTTGTGTGGAATTGGGCTTTTAAAATGTCAAATATTTAGACTATTTATAAGTACATGTAAAAACGTTCTGAAAATACTGTTAAAATACTGTTAGATTATTTTCACAATTTTTGGAATTATCAGCCATAGTTTTCCTATTTTTTTATCATCTCTCAAAAAAACCATAAGGAACTATATCTATTTTCCATTATCGAAAATGTTCAATTTCAGAAAAAGTTATCATTTTGACTATCAGTAGCGGAAACTTTATGAACGCTTAACTCACTTCAAAACTTTTAAATATGTTGACCTAACTCACATGAGATGTATTTTCACCCTTTTTGGAGCACTATTTTTAAACATTATGAGTCTATTTTTTGACGGTATGCAACTGTTATAACAAGATACTGTATTAGGAATATTGTGTTAATGGTAGATCTTCGGACATTTCTGTTAAAATTATTCACAAAATTGTTAAACTCAAGTCGATTTAGAGCTTGATAAATTGGAATTGTTATTGTATAATTGAAAATCAAAATAGTTTGTTGAACCCTTTAAGTTGATTTGTTTTTTTGTTTGTTTTTGATTTTTGTTTTTTGTTTTTTGTTTTATTGTCGTCGCCGTTTATGAATCCCATCTTTTTGTGTGCTTTAATTGATTCTTTCTTCAACAGCGACCTTCTTCGAATCTGTTCAAGTCGGGCAACCCAATAGACAACACATACAACACTGAACCAGGGAAAAAATCAGTACCAAAAGCTCCCTCTAGTGATGATGCTAATATAAACAAAACGTCTGACGAAAATGCAGCTAAACGTAAACGATCAAAAAAGAGAGGAAGGAAGAACAGAAAGAGAAAGAGAAATGGAAAGAAAAGGCGAAGGAACAAAAAAACAAAAAAGAAGAGAAAACATCTTCCACCTAAAGTGAACATTAAGGTAACATTTTACAAACTTTGCAATTTAAGAATTATTTTTCAAATTACATCATCACATTTACTAGTACATTTAGTAATAAGGTAGGAAAATGAGAAGAGAAGTGATTCCTAACTCGTTAGGATCTTACATACTTAAATAACGGGACAATCTCTGTTTGAATATTTAAATAAAGCTAGTGTTTAAAGTTTCGGTCAATCGTGTCTATTGTAGGCACCACAAGAGTGTACCTCAACAACAAAAGGACTCCTTCATTTTGATATGTATTCGCAACAAATGTACATATGTGATAATGGTCAATGGAAGAAATGGACTTCAGATAGCAAAGAAGAACAGCAGTCGGATAGTAGATCGGATACTGAGCTGTGTAATATAGGTGAGCATAAATAAAAAGAAATATTTAAGGTAAACTTCAAGAAGATAACAACCAAACAACACCAAAGTACAACTTCTTGCAACCAACACATGGGTTGTAAATGGTATACAATATGCATACATTTGTCAAGCTCTTATTTGTCTCAAGTCCAGAAAAGTGGAAAAAATAAAAAGTAAGCCACTTGAATAAAATAATAACCATGGTGATGAAAAAGATACATATATGTTACCTAGTTTATTTTGTTCGAAGTGCTTTTCTGGATTCACTGTAATAACGAACGTTTGTGTCATAATATTTTGAAATCCACAAAAAGAACATACATACAATAGTACAATGTAGCTCTTTTCTAATTCGCTTTTTGTTTAAGAAAATGAAAAAAAATCCGATGTCAATTCATTTAACATATTTGTATATCTTGTATCAAACAATTTTTTGGGTAAGACAGTTTTATATTTCTACAAATTGTGAGAAGAGGTAAAAGGAAGACAGTTTTTAGTAGTAGTTGCTTCACCTCTTATATGAAGAGCGACCCTACATTCTTAAAACACATTTTTCTGACAGACTTATTAGTTAAGTTCTTTTTGACATCTAAATAATTAATAAGTGACCGATCGATGGCATTTTGTTTTCTTTGAATTTGATAGTCAAGAAATTCCTTCTGTATGCGCTATTCCTTCTGTATACATTAATGTATGTGATTATATATTGCCATCTTTATAAAAAATTACCTTCCTGCTATTAAACGAACAATGCATTTGGGAACTTTTTATGATTTATAATTACAATATCTTCTATATGTAGGTACACATTTTGATGGCAGATGCTATACTTTCGTAAACGAGAGGCTTACATGGAATGCTGCTGAGTATAAATGTGCAGCACTATCGCCAATGAAATCAACAGTGACATCTGTTCGATCAAAGGAACATTTTAACTTCTTGATTAATCTTGCAAAGAAAAAATCTTTCTGGATAGGTAAGTCAGTCGGTGTAGTTTCATCGTCATTAATTTGAAGGGGAAAAGTCACGTTAATTCAACAAATAAGAGTTCATCTATTTCGGTTTAAATGGGAAAGGATAAATAGATAAAAAAAGAGAAGAAAGACCTACTGTCTAATAGTAAGAATATCAAAGAAGTCATGAAGAGAGAAAAGAATATGCAAAAAAGGGAAAAAAGTTTGTGCAAAACAGTAGGTCATAGAAAAAAAATTAAAGAATGTTTGGTAGATTGTTCGATGATGTGGAAGATTGAATCAGTATCCCTTTCAGTTTACCAAAAGACTGGCGTATTACACGGAATGGAACACATACAAGACTAAACTATTTTTCTTTAAGTCGGAAAGAGATTACCGTCGAGTGTTACCAATGATCTTTATTGAATTTCAAAATTTGTTATAAAGAAATATGGATCAAACAAAAAAGCAGACTCATAAGTACAATATTGCTAAAGCTGAAAGTAAAGGCTACAGACACAATATGTGGTGGGATTAAACCAGTTTTATGTGTGCACAATTTTCCCCTTTGCTTATCTATATGTCGTAAAAGTAAACACACAAAAAAATCTGCATTGTCAAGCTACCAAGAGGATAAATCTTACTAGACTTTTTTTATCAAGTTTAACAAAGCAAACCTAAGCAGAATGAAAGTATAGTCGTACTTGATCTAAGAACTAAATGAACAAAATATACACACTAATTCAAACTAAAAACGGGTTAAAACGGCAAAACATTTTCAAACAATCAATCCAGCACAATATGAAATTATTTTCATGTCAAAACTGCAATCAAGTTTGAATGGCTGGACATATCTGACAGTATTATATTAATAATAGTTTCGATATTTCCTTCGTTTTAGGTTTAAACAATAAGGAAAATCCCACGGAATGGAAATATCTAAATAAGGAGTCGTACCAGTTTGCCAACTGGGGGAAAAGACAACCGAATACACGTGGTCGAAACGTGAATAAACATTGTGTCCAAGTTGGGAAAAACCAAACATGGCGAAATAAACGATGTGATACAACCACCAAAAGGTTTATATGTGAAGGAATTCCAAACACTAAATCAATAAAAACAAAACGATCGCGTTCAAGAAGAAGACACAAGTATTCAAGATTCTTCTAAACTTTTATGGAAATAGTGTTGAAGATTTTAATCAGTGCCGTTTTTGGCACTACAAAGGTTGTGATGTCACATGATTGTGCTGATATGTCTCCGACAAAAGACTTAGTGCTGACGAGAAACCTATATTTATATTAAGATTAAATATATTTAAATTACAAGACAAACTTTGCTAATGTTGTAAAATATCCTTTTACAAAAAGCAAACAAAAATATTATTTATATGTATAGACTTGTATTGTTAGTGATTGTATGATTGATATATATGTGATAGTTGTTTTAGTTGCAACGGACAAAAGGGTACAATTATAAACAATAACATGTATATAATATGTACAATTAACGTACATGTAGCTTTAGAAATGTGAGCTGTTGATAATTACCAAAGTAAAACATAAGGGCATGTCGATTGTGATACTGTTTTTGTTAATCATATATATATATATATATATCATGTTTATATCAATAATCAATTATTTTACTTAACAAATTATATCCCCACTCTCATACTGGGGATATATTACATTCACCTTGACCGTCTGTTCATCCAACATATATTTCCGTCACACTTTTCTCATGTAGTAATGAAAAGAAATCGTTGTCAGCAGCTGGAGAGTGACGAGATGTTACGTCTGAACACTTTTCGGATCTGTCAGACACCTACTACCTGTTTGCACATAACTTGAATTTTATTTTTGCAATATGTTGAATGAACTTAAATTTTCGTCACACATTTCTCAGGTACTACTGAACAGAATGACATCATATTTGGACAAAGCTGGGCAGTATAATGATTGACTGCCTGATTCCCGCACCTTTGAATTACGAGTGGTGTTGTGCTTAGCACGATACTCGAGAGCATTCTTGTTTCAGTTGATCAGGTGGTGTGGCTTTATTTTCTTCCTAATTGGAGTTTTATTAGAGAAAAACACAAGCAACATTAGGAAAATGTCTGATCATACTTTTGAATTGAGTTTAGAATATGCACCATACTTTGGGAGAAACATTATACTATAACTTACACTTAAGAGACAATAGAGTTGTCTCTCTTCTTACAAAACACTAAAACTGTTCGAATAAATAAATTGATTGATTGATGAGCGCAAAAAGGATATATCTCGGCGACCGAATAAATAGAGAATGTTTAACATTACTAACGTGAGATTTCAAGAGTTTCTTTTTTCACAGAGCACTCACAGTTGTTTAGTAACGTTTTGTAGTGTATTTTTACAACGAAATCAATAAAACTATAAGAAATCAGTATTAGAACTTCCCTTTTCTTAAGTAAAACATCCCTAAATTACGTAGATTTCTAAGAGTTCCACAATCATGTTGATTTGATGCAGAATTAAACGTTGATAATAAGAAAATAGGTTAATACTCACATTTTTTTTATTCATGCTAGCAGAATGTTTTCAGTAAAATCTGCAAAATAAGTAGTAATTTTTCAACAAATCTATTATGTTGACTGTTACCTTGCATTGCTCTCGTAACACAAACAAAATTATTCATGGAAAGTAAATTGTATTGCTGATGTATTTTGGTTATGTTTAATTACTTGTATTTTGAAATCGATTTGGTTATTAGATGCTAGATGCTTTTTTGTGCTAAGAACACATGTCCACCCCTTAAATAACCCATTTACGAATGAAGTCTTGTGTAACAGTCATGTTCGATATGTGCAGTGTTACATTTTAGTTTTTAGGTCAGTATAAAAAATCAAATTATGTACAGTAGTAAAAAATACAGTCGATATAAGATTTTTTTATATTTCATTTGGCATTAAGGCAATAAGGCATTAACGGATTTTGGGAAATACATAAATACACCAGATCCCTTCTTCTTATAATCATTATCTCTTGTTTCAAAAATACGAATAGAAATGAATTTTGCTTCTACAGATATCTAAATGTTTTCAGTTCGGTTCAAAATTTATGTCAATTAGGCAAACTTATAGTTTGTTTTCATTGCACGTATAATGTTATGATGTAAATGCATTTGGCTATTTTGAAACATAATGTCCGTATACTAGTAACTGGTACTGGGTTATTGTGACATACGAATGCATTTCCATATATAAACAACTGTAATATGTATTCTTTTTGAAAAGGTTAAGTTCATATTTTACATTATCAAAATTCTTCAAGTACTTAGTATTAAGGATTCGCAAAAGCAAACATAACGAACGTGTTGTGATAATTTTCACAAGTTAACTATGAGAGGCTGCCAATGTAAAATTTTAAACATTCAATATTGTATAGCATATAGGAAGACTAATACTAATTTTATGGATTTCCAATGTGGAAATTGTACACTTTGCGACCTTTTTGTATGACACTTTTGTCTTATTTTGCTTTGATGCTAGGTCAAATGACAAACCACTCAACTAATGCTGTAGTGTATTTTACAATTGAGAGTTTCATCTTCCATATAATCACCTGAAATGAATCTCGCCTTGATTATTTAGCGAAGTTTTCTCTTTAGATGTAACCTGTTGAACAGTTTTGGTGGAAACTACGCTTTTGTTCATGACTGGAATTTAAATTTCCTATTTAACTCGCAGTTATTTTTCTACAATTTGAATAAGAAGATATCTAAATTTCAGTAGTAATTTAGTATTGTATTTCTATACAAAACACTAAATGTTTGTCATCTCAACATGGATTATATTTTTCGTGTTTAATTCATTTTCAAAGTTGAATGAAAGATTGGGATTTATGTCATTTGTATAAATATTATCATTTGTTTCTGTTGTTGAGTTTGTAAGCAATAGTTAATATGACTCATGTTGCTTAATTATTTTATAATGATAATAAAACAGAATTAGTGTTACAATTTTTATTTTGTAGAAAATGAGAATTTTGGACAAACGTCAATGAGACAGCTACCCAACAAATCAACTTAATTAAACAAAAACAATTTAGACGAATATAACGTCTACCTACTCCGCGAGTCTGGATGGCTGTCCATCGCGTTTCACATAAAGTGGGTAACTTTTTGTCGTCATCAAAACTCATCAAGGAAACCCTGTTTTCTCTAAGCCGAAAAGTTTTAAAAAAAAATAGAGTTCGTACAACTTTGTTGCATTATAAAGAATGGCAAACGTAGATACAAAGGGAAGGGATAAATCATGCTTTGTAAAAAGCCACTCTGATTCAAGCAAAAAAAGTCTTTAAACCTAACATCATCAAGATGCTTGATTCTGTTTATTAACAACACTCGAAAATAATGAAGGATAATTTTTAGTGATTCTTTATTTTTTCTTAATTTTAGTTTAAATCAATTTACCAGTATATAAATATTCTGATGATTCTAACAACCATCGTTTTCGTTCATCAAAGACCATCATCTTCTTGCCGACTTGTTCCTTCATTCATATGAGGCACACTTCATACAAGACCGTCTTAGGAGGAATTAAACGAAGCAAGTGTAATCCTTTAACTTCACGTTCTGCTAAACAGTTGATAAACTCTCACTTACTAAATTATTCGAAGTTTGGTGACTATGTTGAACGTACCTATTTAATCGAGCTTGAAATAAGGAATACCGTCGATACAGTAAAGTCTCCTGCATATCTTTACTTAGTTCTATAATTGATCATTAAGGTCTGTTGAGAACACATTTTTACGACAAAACAGATGATTTGTGAACTTTCCATTTCTATGTAGCAACACTCAAAGTACGCATGCATATGGAGTATTTATCTCCGAGCTGATATGATGCCCCAGAGATTACGTTTCCTATCGTTGCTTACAAGTAAACTATTAAACCAAGGGTTCCAAATGGTAAAGTTGAAGTCATCATTTCGAATTTTTTACGGACACCATCACACGAAGGTTAACCGTTATGAACGATATGTTTCGAAGTTGACAACGGACATGTTCCAATTGTCGTTACTACAAACCCGCCCATTTTCCTCGATTGTGACATCACCGAATGAGACTAATCACGGAATGTGTACCTACATCAGCAACACGACAGGATCAACTTACCCTTCCGGAGCACTTTTTTTGCGGGGTTCGTGTTGTTCATTCTTTAGCTTTCTATGCTGTGTTTTGATGTATGTTATTTGTCTTTCGTCGTTTTTCATTTTTTGCGATGGCTCACTCAGTTTGTCATCGACTTACAAGTTTGAATTTGCCTTTGGTATCTTTCGCCTCTCTTCTATACCAAGTTAGTCATTTGCGATAATGCACCAGAGGTGGTATGCAAATTATTGGAAGAAGAAGAAGAAGTAATTTGAATTTTTCCATCAGTCTATAATAATTGCAGAACTGGGTCAATGCAAAGGAAGACAACAATAATAACATAAAGTATCGTAAAACACCCGATTTTTTTAGTTACCAATAATTATTGATTACAAAAGGGTCTAGATGGATGTAGTTTACAGACTAAATTGAGAACTAAACAAATGTTAACACATATTATACGTCGTTTCATCTATGTACCTGGTGTGAAATTTTGTGACGTCAAGGAATCTATAATCTTCTATGGTTGGGAGTTTATGTGTTAATGCGATAACAACCGACACAAACTAAACTACATGTATATCTCTTTCAGTTTGAGCCTCGCGTTTTCATGAACATCCGGCAAATTATTAATTATATATTAATTACGTGTTACTGTATGTATATGTTATCTTTGGAGGACGTGTTTTTCAACAAAAAAAAATCGGCTTGGAACGAACTGTGCAGCTCTGTGATAAAATGATTTAATCAAACTCAGCTGTCTAAGCAGTCACACCAAACATCACTTTATTTTTAACAAGCCGAACCACTTCTCCATTATTTAACAAGCCAAAACACTTCATTGGCATGATTGATTCATTTGGAATCCACCATCAATCCAGTCAAACTGAGAAAGAACATTATTTCATTTTATTTGTCGTAAAAGAGGCAGACCAGATAAAATATACAGTATAAGAACGGTTCTGCTGTTTAATTTGAAAGAGATAAACAACAGTCGAAGAAATTTTAGGCAACCGTGGTTTACCGATGTTCAAATTTAATAAATCGTTTAAGAAGTTATATATCAAGGTAACAAAAAGAAACAGAGTAACTGACAGTCAACAACATGAAGAAAGAAAGCGAACAAACAAGTCTTGTCAACAAATGAAAACACAGAAAAGAAAAGATGATGCAACCCAACCCCCCCCCCCCCCCCAAAAAAAAAAAGGGGGATGAACTCGGATGTAGTGGAAGGGTTAACAGTTCCTGTTCCTCTCATTTAACCTGTCGTGTTGCTGATAACAAATGAATTTTCTCGTCGACTTGTTTCTTTATCAATATGAGGCATACTTCATACAGAGCTTCTCAGGAAGAATGAAAACAGCTAGAGTTTTCCTTTAACTCCACAATCCGATCTATAGATAATGTCCTATCAATAAATAATTCAAAGTATGGTGACTATGTTGAAAGCATTTATCCCATCGAACTGGAAATAAAGGATACCACATCTACAATAAAGACCGCCTCATATCTTTACTTACATCTAGAAATTGACAATGAGTGTCTGTTGAGAACAAAACTTTACGACAAAATGGATCACTTCATGTTCAATTAGAATACTTTCAATTTCTATGTAGCAACCTTCTAGTAACGCCTGAATATGGAGTAGAATATAGAATGGAAACGAGGAATTTGTCAAACAGACCACAACCCGTCCAATGGGTATGGCAACGCAGCGAGAAAATCCCGCACCCGGATGCGGGCTTCAGCTGACCCCTTAGCAATGGTGTATACTAGTTCAGCGAAATAGACGCCACACTAAACTCTGAAATATATAAATGAACCAAAATTTAAAAAAAAAAACACACACAAGACGAACAAAGTAGAGGTTTCTGACTTAGGACAGCTGCAAAAATGCCTTTTACCTAGTATGATAGAGTTCAGTTAACTACATTGACTCATTTCATTCGATAACAGAGATCGGTTGATTTTAATTGATCTCCAAAGCACAATTGCGTCAACTAATCCCCACAGAACTACTTCTGTCGAGTTAGCTAAACCAATAAATCATTATGACTTGTTATGACAAAGTTCAAAGTTGTCAAGTCAGCTTAACCAATCAATCCTATGACTTGTTATGATAAGGTTTGCACTTGTCAAGTCAATCAAACCATTCGTTTGGTTTGCCTAGATAAGCTTGTTTGACAGTTCAAATCAATTGAATCGGTTGATAATATTCAAGCAATTGAAATACTTTATAATACAAACAACTGATTTGCCTTGTTTGCGAAAGGATTGAATTTTGTTCAAACGAACCAATTCCTATCTCATATTAACAAAATTTATCTGCTCATTCATATCAATAATACCAACAATCATTCGTAACTGTTACGTTCAATTTACTCAATTGATTGATTTGATCATAGTACAATTGTAAAAAATTACAAAACGTACTATACCCCTCTCAAATGAGTCAACCCAAACAATATATCTTACTTCCTATGACAGAGTTCAGTTGAATTCAAAAAGACATATAATTCAATTGAGCTCAATAGAACAATTGATTCAATGGATTGAATTCCAACAAACCTACTCATGTTAAACAGTCAAACCAACCAATCCTTCTTATCCTATATGGAATGGTTCACTTTGCAAAATTGATATCCCCTTATCAAGTCAAATCATTACTTCTTGTCTTGGATGATGGATTTCATTGTACTTAATTGACACAATTACAGTGCTCCTTTAAAATCTATCAAACAATTCAAATTTTCATTCCCGAGGTAGAGGTGATAAAGTTGATTTGACACAATTGATCTCATACTGCAATTGACTTAACTGAATCAATTGAGCCCCGTTGTACAATTAATTCCATTGCATTATTTTTGTCGTATCTATCTAACCATCCAACCCTTCTCATCTGGTATGATAAAATTCATTATAAACTGTAAAAGATCAGACTCGCAGTACAAGTGTTTCAACCGCCACAACTATATTCCCTATCAGGTTTGTTGAGAACGAAAATCGTTCCTATATAGTTTGGACTATTTTGGCTATTTTAACACTGATGTTCATTGGAATCTCAATAATATAAATGGCTTGCCTGGATCTTCGTTGTTCGGTTAGCCGTTATGAGCAACACGACGGGTGCCACACGTGGAGCAGGATCTGTAAGCTGGTTCTCGACTGAATACTACACTTTGTTCATAGAAGCTGGTTCTCGACTGAATACTACACTTTGTTCATAGACAGCCGGTGATATCCGATCTATTGTAGAATATGATTAGTCATGAGACTTTTTGTATCATCCAATCAAATCACGTGTATTATACCGCAATTTCCATTGTAAACATGAAATTTTATTTTATGCTACAATCCAAGAAATGTTATCGCAAATCAACTAATGAAGATTGAAAGATATTAATAAAATTGAGAATGGAAATGGGGAATGTGTCAAAGAGACAACAACCCGACCATAGAACAGACAACAGCAGAAGGTCACCAACAGGTCTTCAATGCAGCGAGAAATTCCCGCACCCGGAGGCGTCCTTCAGCTGGCCCCTAAACAAATATATATATACTAGTTCAGTGATAATGAACGCCATACTAAACTCCAAATTGTACACAAGAAACTAAAATTAAAAATAATACAAGACTAACAAAGGCTAGAGGCTCCTGACTTGGGACAGGCGCAAAAATGCGGCGGGGTTAAACATGTTTATGAGATCTCAACCCTCCCCCTATACCTCTAGCCAATGTAGAAAAGTAAACGCATAACAATACGCACATTAAAATTCAGTTCAAGAGAAGTCCGAGTCTGATGTCAGAAGATGTAACCAAAGAAAATAAACAAAATGACAATAATACATAAATAACAACAGACTACTAGCAGTTAACTGACATGCCAGCTCCAGACTTCAATTAAACTGATTGAAAGATTATGTCTTCATCATATGAATATCAGGCACAATCCTTCCCGTTAGGGGTTAAGTATCATACCATCATAACATATATGAGAAGAACATAACCCGTGTCATGCCAACAACTGGTTTTTAAATAATAGTGTTTAGTGCCGATGCAAAGACCCTATAAGTGAATCAATATTAACGCCAAAATATGCAATCTTTAATGACCTGACAACAGTATCGTAACTATATCCCTTCTTAATAAGTCTATTTAAAGGTTTTGTTAGCTTCAGAGTTTTTCTTGTCGTTGACACAATTCAATCCTCTTTCCTCGTTAATGACAACCCAAAATAAGCCTTATCACCAGATATTACCAGAATCATCAAGCCATGTTCTACTAGGGTTCTTTTGTGGGTTTCGTGTCGATCAACCTTTTCCTTTTTTCGTTTAGATTGTACTGTTGTTTGGTTCTGTTTTTTAGGGGGTGTTATTGACTATCTTTCTCTCAGTTTTTTGTTTATTACCTACATTTGTATCTTTTTGATCGATTGGTAAAATCTGAACATCGATAAACCAGTTGCCTTAAATACCTTCGACTTCTTGATACCTTTCCATTTTTGACATTGGAGCTCATTTAATCAATCCAATTGATATCTTTAATTAAATAAAACTTCCGACCCTAATTATATACTGTATGCATTATCTGGACTGCCTCTTTAAGTAAAATCGAACAATATTTCAGTTTAACTGGACTGATAGTGGACTCAGATTGAATCAATCAGGTCAATTGAACTATTTCATAATAACAGTGTTTTGAATTGTTAAATAATGAAGAAGTGGTACGACTTGTTAAACAATAGAGCTATGTTTGGTGTGTAGAGTCAATTAAATCAAAGATCTGAGTCAATTGTAATATTTCATAATTTCAATAGCTTACCTGGTTACGAATGTTGGTAATAGGGTTCAATTGACTGACATTTGATCTGCCTAACAATAATCAGTCAAACAACCAAACTTCGTGCTTATTTTGATCAAGTGCATTGGTCTCAATAATTGGCACCATAATGATTCAATTAGTCTTATAAAATAGACTCAATTGTCAAATCACCCAAATCAATATGAATAATAATAATCAGCTGATAATAAAACATTTGTTTTGGCTTACACAAGATATCATTTGTGTTAATTTTGCCAATATGGATACGTTTATCGTATAATCAGTTAGTTTGCTTTGAAAATTAAGGTTCAATTGAAATAATGCAAGCAATTAAAACAGTTATCGCAAAGAATTAAATTTCAGCAAAACAGCAATTATGCACCATAATGTTCCTGTATTGTTCCCTTCAGCATCTTTACAGCTATGCACGATTGCAAGGTTTAATTGAATGTGACCTACCGAATAAGACTTAGCACGGGAGTAAAACAAAGGGTGCCACGTGCGGAGTAGGATAAGCTTATCCTTCTAGAACACCTGAGATCACCTCGGCCTCCGGCTTTTGGTGGCGGTTCGTGCCGCTCAGTCTTTAGTTTTCTATGTTGTGTTTTACACTGTTGCTTGTCCTTTGGTCGTGTTTCGTTTTTTACCACGCCATTGTCATTTCGTTGTCGACTTATGAGTTTGATTATATCCCTTTGATACCTTTCGCCTCTCTCTTTACCCATGCGACTTGATATGCACGTTTACCATTCGGGAGATACTGTCTAATATGTGCCTGAACCAATCTAAATTGCAGTCATGAGTAATCTGAAGATGTTTATTTTGGGGTTAATATTAAAATGTTCAAAAATGCACAATTATACAATATATGTTCTTCAATACTTTGCTTAATGCTTAATGTAATCGTTTTGGCAGGTAATATGCCGGTAAATGATGCTATCATCTGTAAAGATATCCAGTTTTATTTGGCTGTGTTTAGGTAGTCATGTAAGTAGTTAATGTGAATGAAAAAGAGTGACGAATGTGAAGGTAGTATGGATAAAAGCAAGACCATGTTAAATAAGTGAAAATAAGTTAAAATATTATGAAATATCTGGAACTAAAAGATAAATGTTTTAGTCTCAGTAAATATTTACTGAAAATATCAAGACAAAACAAAAACAAAAAAATGGAGAATGTGTGAAGGAGCGGATCCAGCCATTAAAAGGGGGTTCCCTATCCAGGATAAAGGGGGGGGGGGTTCCAACCATATGTCCCCATTCAAAAGCAATGATCGTCATAAAAAAGGGGGGCTCTAACCCCAGGAACCCCCCCCCCCTGGAACCGCCACTCGGGTGTCCATGGGACACAAATGATGCCCCCGCTTGCATATAATATAACGTACGCTATAAAGGGACATAACTATAGAGAACGGTAAAACTACGGTAACGTCGACGGCAAATTCGAACTTAATCTTTGTTTAGTGGTAATAAGCATTGTGTATAAGTTTCATAACATTTGGTTGAGGCAAACTAAATTTAGAGAACGGAAACTAATTTTGGGACGTTCGTATGGACGGACGTACGGACGGACAAGGGTAACACTTAATGCCCCCTCCCGCTGCGGCGGGGGCATACAAATTTATAGAAAAGGGGGGTCCGTTCACCACTCCCCCTTTTCCTCCCATTTTGGACTTTATACGGACTTTCATTTTTGCCTTAACATACACTGAACCTCAACCTGGCTTCACATTACGGTCACGCGTGTTCAGTTTGTATTTCCCGCCAACGTGTCAAAAATTGAAACCGGAAATCCAAAAGAGTTCCGCTTAAACATGGCGTCGATAACAAAACAGAAACCCAGTCCGCTTGACAAACCATTAAGTAAAGGAAAAGCAGAGGTAAACGAAGAATTAATTTTATAAAAATTCAGAGGAAAAGTACAGTATTCAAAATATTGACAATTCTTATTTACATGTGTGTATCAAAACCCTTGCTACTAGCCATTGACATTGTACATTGTACGTCTAGCAGTAGCAGTTTCACTAAGGAGTTGCATCTATCTGTATTGATACGTTGTAATTCCCCGTGTACTTTATTACAACGGGGACCAAGAACGCAATAGATACCAAGTGCATGTATTTTTCTTTCTAATCACAAATGGCCGGCCTGAATATGCATGAAATACTTGCCACTGGACTCTTACAATACCTTTCAAATAAGTTTATGTTAATTGTGCACTATAGTATAATATAGTATATATCTACTATCAAAATTATTACTTGAGGAGAAATTCTCACTAGGACATTTCAAAAATGAGAGGTCTGTAGAAGCCTATAATATCTTATTTTTAACAGGAAGAAAAAGGCCAGGTACAAATAGTACAAAATCATTGACAGGTTAAAGTTCATCTTAAACAGATCAGGAAATGGCACAGAGATGTGCTGCTCGTTAGGTACATGTATGTAACAACTACCATAACTCGTGTAGTATTGTGGCGAAAATGATTTTATTGCACAAGAACAGTTAAGTTGGTCGTGGTCCACCAAGTTTATGTTTTCTCTCACATTTTCCATTAATGGTCAACTGAGCTTTTTTTCCCTTGAACTAGTCACATGTTTTGACTTTGACAGAAAATCAATAATCTGCTGATTGTAAAAAGGTATAAGTTAAAGTATTTGATAGTTATCAGCAGAGACATATATCATATATATACATGTATGTCTTTGTTGTCAGCAATAAACTAATCAATAAAAAATGTTAATTTTATTATTAGTCCCCTACCAACGAAGTCGAAGGGGTCTTTAGGTTTGCACTTTGTCCGTCTGTCTGTCCATCCATCAGTCTGGCAAATCAGTTTTCCACACTTTTTTTCTTTGTCCTTGAAGATATTGGTTTGATATTTGGTGTATTGTTTATCATGACAAGTTACATATCAGGTTCGAATTTTGTTCCGGTCTGATGATTTTGTGTAGAGTTATGGTCCTTGGACATAGAAAATTCACTTAAATAATCAGTTTTCCACATTTTTTTTCAACATGCTTGAATATATTGACTTGATATTTGTTATATAGTTAACACCATGACAAGTTATAGATCAAGTTAACATTTTGTTTCAGTACAGTGAATTTTTAGCCGGTAGTGAACTATGTATTGCCATGCAATACTCTCAGAATGCTTGATAAATTAACTTCTGTGGTTAAATGGCTTCACAAGTCACTTAAATGAGTTGTTTTTACAATTAAAGAATGATATTTGTTTTGAAGATGGTACCTCACAATTGTTTAAGCGCTACTGATTTTAATATAGTTTTAACTTTTAAAGATGGGCCAGAAAAGAAAGCTACTTTTAATTTAAAAAACACAGGATCTACAAATAAATAAAATTCTTTGATTTTATCCAGATTGAAAGTACTTGTATCCTATAATCTGATTGATGTTGGGAAATCTGGCAACTAGTGAACAACCTTGATAAATGAACTTGAATAGCTCACGCTTGCAAAGCACTGCTTCAAAACTAGGCTGATCAAGTTAAGAATTTTGATATGCATTTTTTGTCTATACTGAAGGTGACAAAATATACTAATTTCAGTAAATTCATAAAGATGTTCCCCTCTGTTGATAATCATATATTGTATCAGAGGTCTATTACTAGGAGTCCTATAAAAATCAGAAGATGTGGTATGATTGCCAATGTTACAACTATCCCTCAGAGACCAAATTATGTAGATGTAAGCAACTAGAAAATGTATAGGTCAACGTCAAGCCTTCAACAATGAGGAAAACTCATACTGTATAGTAAGCTATAAAAGGACCAAACATAACAATATGTAAAACAATTTAAAGACAAAAAACATTGGACTGATTTATGTAGACTTCATGTATGTACAAAACAATAAACAAAACAAAAAATACTATTGTAGACAGCAACTAACAACAAAAACTGCATTACAGGCATCAGACTGTAAAACTGTAGACATGGCAGATGAGTGGACCTTTTCAAATAAGATTAAGGTTTTTATGCCCCCGTCGTAGCGGTGGGGGCATTAAGTTTTACCCTTGTCCTTCTGTACGGACGGCCGTACGTCCCAAAATTGGTTTCCGTTCTCTAACTTGAGTTTGCCTCAACCAAATGTTATGAAACTTATACACAATGCTTATTACCACAAAACACAGATCAAGTTTGAATTTTGGTGGCTTCCCTTAAACCGTTCTAGAGTTATGCCCCTTTATAAATGAAAAAATTGCAATATATTTAGTTTCCGTTCTGTAACTTAAGTTTGCCTCAACCAAATGTTATGAAAATTATACACAATGCTTATTACCACAAAACACAGATCAAGTTTGAATTTTGGTGGTGTCACTTTAACCGTTCTAGAGTTATGCCCCTTTATAAATGGAAAAATTGCAAAATTTTTAGTTTCCGTTCTCTAACTTAAGTTTGCCTCAACCAAATGTTATGAAACTTATACACAATGCTTATTACCACAAAACACAGATCAAGTTTGAATTTTGGTAGCGTCACTTCAACTGTTCTAGAGTTATGCCACTTTATAAATGGAAAAGTTGCCAAATTTTTATTTTCTTCTAAAAATCAAGTTATTTATAAATTGGAGTTATCTTCCTTTGTCCATGATTATAGTTGAATCAACTACAATCAATGCTTTATACAATGCAATGTTTAATTTTGACTTCCAGTGATAAAACACCGATCAAGTTGAATTTTGGTAGTGTCACTTTAACCATTATTGAGTTATGCCCCTTTATAAATCGAAAGATTGCAAAATTTTTAGTTTCCATTCTGCAACCTAAGTTTGCCCCAACCAAACATTATGAAACCTATACACAATATTAATTACCACAAAACTAAGATCAAGTACAAATTTTTTGTTTCCGTTTTCTTACTTTAGTTTGCCTCAACCAAATGTTATGAAACTTATACACAATGCTTATTACTACATAATACAGATTAAGTACGAAATTTGGTGGCGACACTTCTACCATTCTTGAGTTATGTCCCTTTACAAACATAGAAATTGCTGAATTTTTTAGTTTGTCTAAACCAAATGAAATAAAACTTATACACAACCGTTCTAGAGATATGCGTGTTTACAAATAGAAAAATTGCTGAATTTTTAGTTTCTGTTCTCTACTTAAGTTAGCCTCAACCAAATGTTATGAGACTTACACACAATGCTTATTACCACAAAATCAAGTTCAAATTTTGGTAGCGTCACTTTTACCGTTCTTTAGTTATGTCCCTTTATAACTATATGATATACAAGCGGGGGCATCATCTGTGTCCACATGTGGACACTATCCACATTTATTTTTGTTTGTTTTAACATCTCTTGCAGGAATGAAGAATTTTTTCTTCAAAATCTGAAAAAGTTTTTAATTTAAATTTTTAAGATTTGACATGCCTGTTTTTGCCAAAATGATGAACTTTAAGGGTTGTAGTGTACAAGTCTGTGTAAACGGGAAGGGATCTAGAAAATCTGAATGCTTTAAAAAAGAATAGTTCATGACTTTTCAAGTATCAACTTAAGCTTCAAGAGTATGATGATTTAAAATGAAATTCAAGCTACAATGTACCTACATAAAGTCCTGAGGCTAAAGTTCAGAAAGGGGAAACAACTTCAATCAATATTTTTACTGAAGACATTACAACATGTGTTACTAGCTAGACTCTCTCATGAATCACTCTTTGGCAAAATGAAAAAATGGCAAATGCTCAACCAATAAGAATTGAGATCAGTCATTTGAGAAATCAGTCTCAAAAGGCCTTAAATATATTTTGTAGTAAGATTTGATTGGTCTTTAATTGGTTCTATAAATCATTCATTAATATATATAATGTTTTTTATGTTGTAGGTAAATATTGCAACTTTTGCTTTATTGTTTTCTGAAATGGTGCAGTATTGCCAGAATAGAGTGTACAGTGTATCAGAGCTCCAAACAAAGTAAGATTAAAATTAAACTTTTTTAAAAATAGCTGATTTTGAATAAATGATCTTGCAAGTAACAAGTTCAAAGTTTTTACACAGACCCAGGTCAATTCAAACCCACTGATATTTTGTTAAATCCTTAAGGCTTAACTTCTACCTACATGTACCTACCTACTAAAAAGTCATTCTTGTTAGATCACAGCAAGCCAAAGGATTTTTTTTCATTACAGATTTGATATCTTGGCTATGCGATAACAGCAGGAAAAGTTATGTTAATCAGAGATCAAATAGAATAAACTCTTATCATAGCTTACTTGTTAACTGCATGGAAAGATGATAAAATGTTTAAGCAATCAATTTGCAAATTTTTTTCTGATATAAGATACATGTATGTAGTGATAACTGAAGGTGACAGGTGCTTTCCAAATCTTTTTTGCATATCCCTGCAGATGATAAACTTTGGACAAATTTTCAGTGGTATATCTTTCATTTCAGGCTGTCAGAGATGGGACAACATGTAGGTTCACATTTGTTAGACTTGCTGTTTGTTAGAGAACAAGGATATAAGAGAGAAACAAAGCTACTCAAAATGTTACTGTTTATCAAGACTAATTTTTGGAAGGTATATCTAAATCCTTTTGTTTGATTTTTGCTAAAAACAGTCATAAAACAGCAGGTCATCAGTATCAAGGGTCCAGAAACGGTCATATTTGCCATTTTTGTCACTCACAGTTCTTATTTTATTTTGATACTTGGGATTTATAAATATATATGGTGTACTGTAAGTCTCCCATTGGCTTCTAAAAAGAACAGTCTACAGAAAAATTACATGAAGCTATTTGATCTACAGACAAAAGAAAATACTCGGGCCAAGTGCAGGATCAACATTACATGAATGCAAACTGTGGATTCATTATTATTTGTGGTATACCAATTTTCATGGATATCATGGGTACAGGTGAACCACAAATTTAAATGTTCATGCAGAGCAAATTTTCTATAGGTTTGAAGGCAAACTTTGTAAAACCATGAAATCAAATATCCACGAAAATTATTGAATCCACAGTAGTCAAGTGGGCCTTTTCACTAAGTTGTGTTTTGAGAACATTTTACGATGCTTATTTCCTAAAAAGACTAGCCTCGTAAACATTAAAATTAGTAACAATTTGGATAAAACCTTTCATTCATTTTTCTTGTAGACTTTATATGGGAAAGAAGCAGACAGATTAGAGCATTCTAACGATGATGAGAGAACATGTATCCTTTTCAATATTCATTTATCTACTTAAGAGAAACAAATAAATAATACAAGAATGCTGAAATACATTTTTTACTTCAAAAGATATAAGAAGATGTGGTATGAGTGCCAATGAGACAACTCTCCATCCAAGTCAAAATTTATAAAAGTAAACCATTATAGGTCAAAGTACGGTCTTCAACACGGAGCCTTGGCTCACACCAAACAGCAAGCTATAAAGGGCCACAAAAATTACTAGTGTAAAACCATTCAAACGGGAAAACCAACGGTCTAATCTATATAAAAAACGAGAAACACTTATGAACCACATCAACAAACAACAACTACAGAACATCAGATTCCTGACTTAGGACAGGTGGAAACAAATGCAGCAGGTTTAAACGTTTTAATGGTACCAAACCTTCACCCTTTTCTGAAACAATAGTGTAACATCACAACATAGAAAGACACACTATAAAATATCAACTGAAATAGCTTAACTCAATCAAAGGACATATTAACACCAGTGAACATACACTGAACAAATAAATTTGACCAATGATACAATGTAAATACAAAATAAATAAACTAAGGGAAGAACAATAAAAGTAACATGTTATACCGCTATGAAATGTTAAACAATTTAAGAAAAACAATATGCTCGAACAAAAATATCAGCCATTTGCAATTACTTTAAACACAGGTAAATGAAAATAATTTTGTTGTTAGGTATACGTATACAGTTCAAATAGATATATTAAACAAAAATGATGAATTTTTGTCTGCAAGTAAATTAGTATTCGAAATGCAATTTATTAAAGTGACTGTTAAAATTTTATGAATTATTTGGATAGCACTAAAGAAAATGAAAAGTATTTAGAGAGAATTATGGATAAATTTTCAATAAAAGTATTTTTATAAGACCACAAAAAATTTGCATTTGTATAATGCTATCATGTCGTCTTCATCCAAAGATCCATTTGGTTTCCCGGACAATAACTTTAGTTTAAGTGAATGGATCTCTATGAAATTTTACCAGAAGGTTCAATACCGGTACTACAAAAGGAAGGTTGGGATTGATTTTGGGGGTTATGGTACCAACAGTTTAGGAATTAGGGGCCAAAACAAGCATTTTTGTAGTTTCCAGACAATAACTTGTAAGTGTATGGATCTCTCTGAAATTGTACTACAAGGTTCCATACCACAAAAAGAAGGCTGGGATTGAATTTGGGGGTAATTGTCCCAAAAGTTAAGAAATTAGGGAAAAAAAAGGGGCCAAAAACAAGCATTTTTCAAGTTTCCAGACAATAACTTGTGTTAAAATTTATGGATATCTCTGAAATTTTACATTTTTCTTGAAAAGAAAATAATCTTCAAAATTTCAAAAAAAAATTGGGGGGGGGGGGGGAATTTTTTTTGGGGGGGTTCATATTTCTTTTCTTCAAAATTTTTCAAATTTCAAATTTTTAGAAATCAAAATTTAGGGGGGGGGGGGGGTTCATACTTTTCTTTTTCTTCAAGATTTAAATTTTTTGGGGGGGCACAAATTTTTTGGGGGGATTTTTTTTTTTTTCCCAAAAAAATTTCCATTTATACATTGATTATTTCTGATTTTTATATATATATAAAAGCAACAAATACTGATATGGCAGGAGATACACACCAAACAGGGTGTGTAAATTATTATATATAATAGATTAACTAACTATTGTGCAACAGCACAGTATTGAGCAATAGCAAGAAATCTTCAATTGAAAATAAATACAAATCTTTTAACCAATTTCAATGGGATTAAATTAAGTCTTAAATTTTAGGGGTTGTAACCTTGTACTACTATTTTGGATATTGGGCCCCATTTTTAAATTGGTCTACATTGAGGTCCAAAGGGTCCAAAATTAAACTTTGTTTGATTTCATCAAAAACTGAATTATTGTGGCTCTATGATATGCTGAATCTTTTTGTGCTTTTAGATTTTTTATTTTTGGGCCCTGTTTTCAAATTAGTCTATATTAAGGTTTGAAGGGTCCAAAATTAAACTCTGTTTGATTTCAACTAAAAAAAAATTGGTGTTTTTTTATATGGTGAATCTAACCATGTTGTTAGATTTTGGATATCAAACCATACTAGGTAAATTAAATGTCCCATTTCAAATTTTTAAGATCTTTGACCACATTTGTTTTGTGTCAGAAACCTATATTATGTCAAAAATTTGACCACAATCCAAATTCAGACAGTATCAAGCTTGAATATTGTGTCCAAACTTGCCCCAGCTGTTCAGGGTTCGACCTCTGAGGACGTATCAGGCTGCGCTCGGCGAAGCATTTTATTTTAATATACAACAGTATCTTTTCCTGTTATTGACCTTAACATATTAGATTATATAATTGAAACTGAACATCTAGTCAACAAATTCATATCAGTACCAAAAGATAAAGGTAAGAGAAATCTAAAAAAAATATAAGAAATATAAGAAAAGTTATTTACAGCGTATTTTATATACATTCATTTTTTATATAAGTACATGTATATGGTGTAAAACAATGCATCTTTAAACAATGCTGAAGCAGTTAAAATGCAAATTGTAAAAATTATCTGAATCAACTTGTATTTAATCTTCAATTTGATCAATTTGAATAATAATGTACACATAACTACAATGAATATCATGTTTTGTCCTGTTTAATACAGTTAAAAGTTTATTGTGCTTACCTCACTTTTGATTTATATACCAAAAGCAATTTTGTATGAATAAAAGGGGATATTTGGTAAACATCAATGAGACAGCGACCCAACAACATAAAAAAACAAAAGCAATCTAAGAGGTCAACTTAATCTTCAAAAATAAACACTTGGGTGTCTGTACAATATCATAAACTCATAATCACACTGAGTCTTGGAGTACGGTTTTAATTATGGAAATGCATTCATGGCATAAAAATGCTTTGTAACCAGTTAATAAGTATTTGTCATGTTGTACATTGATTCTTAGAAATGTATGCAATGCTAGAAGATGTCAGCACTGCTGTAGAGTATGAAATACCATACAGTAAATTCTCTTTATTTTTTATATTTCAGCAAAATTAAATTGTGCAGCATTTACTGCAGGCATAATAGAAGCTGTTCTTAATGGAGCTAATTTTGTAAGTGAATGTTTTTAATCCTTTGTAAATTTTTCACATTGTAAATCTCTAAAATATTGTCAAGTTTGTTAGTGTCATTTCTACTTGAACCTTTTTGAAATAGTGAATATCTCAAAATATTAAAATTTGATAAAAAAAATTTCAAATTATAGAATTTACACCATAAAATATCCAACAGAGTCCTATTGACATGAATTTTACTAATTATAAGTCATTGTCAGCCTTCAATAGTAGCATAACCAATACCATATAGTCAGTATAAAAGGTCCCAATATGCCATGAAAAATTCTCCTATGGCAATAGACATCAATTTTCAGCGTGATTTGCACTTAGCTGCAGGAATATCAGATTTAGAATGTATGGAAGTCGTAACATTTTATTCAAGTTTTTATGCCCCCAGACGTAGCAGAGGGGGCATTAAGTTTTACCATTATCAGTCTGTATGTACGTCCGTCTGTACGTACATCCCAAAATTGGTTTCCGTTCTCTAACTTTAGTTTGCCTCAACCAAATGTTATGAATCTTATACACAATGCTTATTACCACAAAACACAGATCAAGTTTGAATTTTGGTGGCGTTACTTATACAGTTCTAGAGTTATGCCCCTTTACAAATGGAAAAATTGCTGAATTTTTTGTTTCCGTTCTCTTACTTTAGTTTGCCTCAACCAAATGTTATGAAACTTATAAACAATGCTTATTACCACATAACACAGCTCAAGTTTGAATTTTGGTGTAGTCACTTTTACCTTTCTAGAGTTATGCCCCTTTACAAATGGCAAAATTGCTGAATTTTTCGTTTCCGTTCTCTAACTTAAGTTTGCCTCAACCAAATTTTATGAAACTTATACACAATGCTTATTACCACAAAACTCAGATCAAGTGCAAATTTGGGTAGTGTCCCTTTATAACGTTATATGCAAGCGGGGGCATCATCTGTGTCCATCTGTGTCCCATGGACACATTCCCCATTTATTTTTTATATCCTGAGCGTACCTGTTCACTTTAGATCACTTGATTGTCTGTTTCAAGTTTGTGACTGTGCTTATTTACATGACAAAGTTGACTATGAAAGATTTTGATAGAAAAATAACAAAAATATGATGTCTTTTTCTTGAGCATCCCTATAGTAATATATTTCTTGTAGCATTAAATGATATTATAAAGTAATTAAAAAATAAGCATTGTAATTTGTCATTTGTTTCAGTTAACAAAGCATATGTCTGTTGATTGTTTATGCCTTACATTTATGAAGTTGTATTCCCTTTTTTTAACAGCCTTGTAAAGTAACAGCTCATTGGCATAAAGGAACAACATTTATGATAGAATTTGAAGAATCAGTTATAGCTAGAGATAAAATGGTAGAAGGAAGATAATTGATGAACAACTTACATTAATTTTTTTTGAACAATGCTCTATTTCATTATTCTTATTTTATAATTAATATATGTTTTCATTTGAATAAATTCAAAACTCATAAGATATGAAATAGTTGTTGTTGTAATGCTGTATTATATCCCTTAAAAATGTGATGGCTAAAATCAGTCATAAGAAGTTGAAATAAATAATAATGTTCTGGTTATATTCTAAGAATATATTTATTAAAAGAAGCACAATTGAAAAAAAACCAGGAATATCTATTGAGTCAAGATATGGTTTGGACTTGAAATTTTAAGGACATATACACATTGAAAAAGATTTATCCTACTAAAAGAAACAGACATTGTTAAAATACTTGATAATTCTCCATATATGATAGTTAATCAAATTGTTCTATCAAAATAGAAGTTCCTGAAATATATGATTAATTGTATTCTCAAAGCAATAAAGGGCTTGTGAGCCTTGCAAAAAAGACAAGAAAGGTACATATGTTAATAAAGGTATTGTTCCATTTAATGTAAATGTCGTATGGATTTCAGGTACGAAGCTGCTATTAACTTTAAACGGAAAAACCTACAAACTTGAGGGTGCTTAAGGAAAAGTAAACGAGTTTGAATAACAATTTTTGTAAAATCAAAGAGTTCAATACATTAAGTGTTTTTTTTATTGAAATGTCTAGGGGCTTCGTTCGTTTTACAAAAAATAAGTATAGGTCTGAGAGTACTCCCTAAATTTGTAAAGATGGAATTGCAATGTTTTGAAATTTATATTTTTCAGACTGAAGCAGTTGTTATTTTGATTCCAGGTATACATGGTTATTTAATAGTTACAAAAAAATTAGTTGGAATGAAAAAGATTCACACAATCACTGGTGTTATTCAGATTTCTGGTTAAATGGTTCTATCTACTTATCAAAATAAAAAATTAAAGGTCTTTGGGTCTGATTGGAAATTTACTCAAGTTCAAATAGCAATCATTAAATCATTTGTTGTAATTTTTAGTGGTTACTGTTCTTATTCCCAAAACAATAGTTGATAGAATGATTAAAAAAAGTTTTCCAACTTTGAATTGAGAATTGCCCATTCCAGATATTCCTATTTGTTTAGTTTGTTAAAATAACAAAGGACAGCAATTATATATTTAAGACAGTTCTGGAACCACTAGTGTTTTGTGTCACTGGGGGACAATTAAATATTTTAAGAACATCACATTAAGGGGATACAAAAGGTAAATTGCCTATCAGGATATTTTCTTCTGCAATAACAAATTCCTTATTTAATGATTTATTACTCTGCATCTTTTAATCGAGAAAATAACACTTTACATATTTTGTAAGTTCTGGATTTACCCTCTCAGGAATGGTCAAACCCAAACATAGGAATGGCAAGACGTTAAAATGACCAAAAGGAACCTTAAAGTATAGCCAATTTCATCTAAGGTCAATAGATATAAGAAGATGTGGTATGAGTGCCAATGAGACAACTCTCCATCCAAGTCAAAATTTATAAAAGTAAACCATTATAGGTCACAGTACGGTCTTCAACACGGAGCCTTGGCTCACACCGAACAGTAAGCTATAAAGGGCCCCAAAAAATTACTAGTGTAAAACCATTCAAACGGGAAAACCAACGGTCTAATCTATATAAAAAACGAGAAACACTTATGAACCACATCAACAAACGACAACTACTGAAAAATCAGATTCCTGACTTAGGACAGGTTCAAACAAATGCAGAGGGTTTAAACGTTTTAATGGTACCAAACCTTCACCCTTTTTCTGAAACAATAGTGTAACATCACAACATAGAAAAACACACTATAAAACATCAAATGAAATAGCTTAACTTTGCCTGTGTGTGTGGAAACATTTGTTTCTTGATAATTTCTAAATTTATCACTGGAGAAATTAAGAAAAGCAAGTTATAAGTCATGCCAGTACCGAATGATACCCTTTTTTACGAAGAAGGACCATTTCCTTCAATCTTTGGTGGCTGGCTGTAATAAGTAAGTACTGGAAATTCCAAAAATTATGGCATGCATTTATTATTGTCATTTTTGAAGAATGGGCAAAAATGCGAGATTAATTATTGCGATTTCAGAAAAATCTACATGCAGATATCAGAATGCAAGTTCTTATTATTGCAATAATCAAGTTGCATTATTCGCATTAATAAAAATCTCACAATGATTTCTGAATTTATGGTATGATGTCCTCTCCGACTGGAGTTTCTTGTTGGTTTTTTGTCTCGCCTGCAACATAGGTTTTTCTATCTGGTGGCGGCGATGTAAACTATTTGTATAAAGCTTTATATTTCAGAAGGCATAATTTGTATGCAGATACCTTATGTTACGAAGTTTCGGTCTGTCATATGTCCCTTGTCCTTGACCTCATTTTCATTTTCCCAAAATTGGTTTCCGTTCTCTAACTTGAGTTTACCTCAACCAAATGTATGAAACTTTTACACAATGCTTATTACCACAAAACACAAATCAAGTTTGAATTTTGGTGGCGTCACTTTAACCGTTCTAGAGTTATGCCCCTTTATAAATGGAAAAATTGCAAATTTTTAGTTTCTGTTCTCTAACTTCAGTTTGCCTCAACCAAATGTTATGAAACTTATACACAATGCTTATTACCACAAAACACAGATCAAGTTTGAATTTTGGTGGCATCACTTTAACCGTTCTAGAGTTATGCCCCTTTATAAATGGAAAAATTGCAAAATTTTTAGTTTCCGTTCTCTAACTTAAGTTTGCCTCAACCAAATGTTATGAAACTTATACACAATGCTTATTACCACAAAACACAGATCAAGTTTGAATTTTGGTGGCGTCACTTTTACTGTTCTAGAGTTATGCCCCTTCATTAATGGAAAAATTGCAAATTTTTTATTTTCTTCTAAATATCAATTTATTTTTAAAATTGGAGTTATCTTCCTTTTTCCATGGTTATAGTTGAATCAACTACAATCAATGCTTTATACAATGCAATGTTTAATTTTTACTTCCTCTGATAAAACACAGATCAAGTTGAATTTGGGTAGTGTCACTTTAACCATTATTGAGTTATGCCCCTTTATAAATCGAAAGATTGCAAAATTTTTAGTTTCCATTCTGTAACTTAAGTTTGCCCCAACCAAACATTATGAAACCTATACACAATATTCATTACCACAAAACTAAGATTAAGTAGAAATTTTTTGTTTCAGTTTTCTAACTTTAGTTTCCCTCAACCAAATGTTATGAAACTTATACACAATGGTTATTAGCCAAAGTTTAATTTTGGACCCTTTTGACCTCAATGTGGACCAATTTGATAGTGGGGCCCAAAAATCAAAATACATGGTTAGATTCAGCATATCAAAGAACCCCATACATTCAATTTTTGTTGAAATCAAACAAAGTTTTATTTTGGACCCTTTTGACCTCAATATGAACAAATTTGATAGCGGGGCCCACAAATAAAAAATCTAAATACATGGTTAGATTCAGCATATCAAAGAACCCCATATATTCATTTTTTGTTGAAATCAAACAAAGTTTAATTTTTGACCCCAATTTGGACAAACTTGAAAACTGGGCCCAAAATAAAAAATCTAAATACATGTTTAGTTTCAGCATATCAAAGAACCTCATATATTCAATTTTTGTTAAAATCAAACTAAGTTTAATTTTGGACCCTTTGGACCTTAGTGTAGACCAATTTGAAAACTGGACCCAAAATTAAAAATCTAAATACATGGTCAGATTCGGCATAACAAATAAATAAATGTGGTCAAAGATTTTACAAATCTAATGCGCCATACTGTGCAATTAAAGATTACTTCTTGAAATTTTTCAATATTTGAAATTTGAAAAAAAAATAATATTTGAAGAATAATTCTTTTTAATTTCTGAAATCTGAAATGAGAAAAAATTGACCCCCCACAATTTCTTTTTACACCCCCCCCCCTTTTTTTCCCCAAAAAAATTCTTTCCCTCAAGATATGGTCATAATCTCAATTCAAATTTCCAATGGAGTTTGCAACCATAATTACCCATTTAAATTTACCATAGTGCTAACTTAATCTATTTTATAATAGAATTTAAAATATGGTGTCAAATCTTTCATATGGATTTTTTGGTATATAAAAAAGATGCAACATTTGCAGATATTTTTACTGGTCTTCCTTTATAAATATGCATTTCTTTAAACATAATTTAAAAGCAGTGTAAGGGAAGTAATCAAAATGTATTTGGATTACCTCCCTTACACTGTTTTAAATTGTCTTAATTGTTCATTAACCATTACTTTATACATAATTTAAAAGCAGTGTAAGGGAGATAATCCCATACACTGCTTTAAATTATGTTTTGTACTAAAGTATTTGTCCATTAACCAGAACAACCTTGTTTTTTACCCTTTTTTGCCCCTTATTCCTAAACGGTTTGAGCCATAACCCCCCAATGCAAATCCTAACCATCCCTTTGTGGTATGGAAACTTGTGGTATAATTTCAGAGAATTCCATACACCGTTCCACAAGTTATTGTATGGAAACTAGAAAATGCTTATTTTTGGCCCCTAATTCCTTAACTGTTGGTACCATAACCCCCAAAATCAATCCCAACCTTCCTTTTATGGTATTTAACCTTATGGTAAAATTTCATAGAGATCCATTCACTTAAACTAAAGTTATAGTGCGAAAACCAATGTGTCTTCAGACGACGACGCCAACGTCATACCAATATACGACCGCAAAAATTTTGCGGTCGTATAAAAATTGCTGAATTTTTAGTTTCTGTTCTCTACTCAAGTTAGCCTCAACCAAATGTTATGAGACTTACACACAATGCTTATTACCACAAAACTCAGATCAAGTTCAAATTTGGGTAGCGTCACTTTTACCGTTCTTCAGTTATGTCCCTTTATAACTATATGCTATGCAATCGGGGGCATCATCTGTGTCCACATGTGGACACTATCCACATTTATTTTGTAATGTGAATTTCTCACTTATTATGAGTAGAAGGATAATTATATTTGATATATGGGTTCCTTGCATCGCCTACATGTCTGTCAGACAGTACGTGTTCATCTGACCTCGACCTTATTTCATGGATCAGTGATCAAGGTTAAAGTTACGTGATTAGGTCCATTCTCAGATACTGTAAGCAGTAGGTCAACTATATGTGGTGTATGGAATGATTGCAAGGGGTACATGTCAGTCTGGCAGGTTTCATCTGACCTTGATCTCATTTTCATGGTTCATTAGCCAATGTTAAGTTTTTGTGTTATTGGTCTGTTTTAAGTACTATAAGCAATAGGTCAACTATATTTGGTGTATGGAATGAATGAAAGGTGTACATGTTCGGTCTAGCCGGTATCATCTGACCTTGACCTCATTTTCATGGTTCATTGGTCAATGTTAGGGAGCTACCATTTGATTTTTATGGGGGCTAGGATGAAATTTTTTAAAAAAAGGCAGGACAGGAGTTTTGAGTAAAAAAAAAGGCAGGATGAGACACTTTGCAAAAAAAAAAGGCAAAATGAGACACTTTGCAAAAAAAAAAGGCAGGATGACAATTTATGTAAAAAAAAGTCAGAATAAACTAAAAAAAAAAAAAAAGGCAGGACCAAACCAAATTGAGTGAAAATAAAAAGGCAGGACATAGATTACAACTAAAAAAAAGGCAGGACAAAATTTTTCATCCTAGAATGAACAGAGCATTGGATGTTATTTATGTTTCATGATGTTACTGATGACTATAATGTTCCATTATTTTGCAACAGATACATGTTAGGGATATTGGCCTATAGTTAGCTGGTATATATTTCTGGTCTTTGTTGTATGCCGGAGTGACATTAGCAGTTCGCCAGTCGTTGGGTATCTCTCCTTTATTCATTGAAAATGATGGTTAGGATCAGAGCAATTGCACTGGCTTACCGCTAGTTCTTTCAGTATCACTGGTTTGATGTTGTCTGGTCCAGCAGCCTTATGTGGATTAAGATTTTTAAGTTGTCTTTCCACTCCATTATAAGTGATGATTATTTGTTCCCTGTTTGGATAGTTTTCTGGTAGATCTGTCATGAGTTTTTTGTCTGTCAATTAAACTCTTTTTTACTAATTGGACATGCAGCCGAGGAGAACGATTGGAAATGATCATTTAGTATATTTGCTTTGTTTATTTGATCAGTTTCTAATTTCCCATTCCTTCCAAGTATTGCTACTCTATTTTTATCCCTTTTCTTGTGTAGATGTATGTCCAGGATCTTTTTGTTGGTGAACAGATGTCCTCATTATCTTATGTTATCTGGAGTTATGTCTTCTATATAATTCCAATAGGCTTGTCTTGATTTGTTTTAGTGGTTTGGTATCTGTAGCATGGTATGATTTCTTTTTGTAGGCTCTGTCTCTTCGCCTCATAATTCTTTTTTTATTTCCAGGCTCATCCATGGGTTTTTGTCCTTAGTCTTGCATAATTTGGAAGCCGGTATATGCTGGTATGTGCTGCTTTCCAGGCATTCCTTGAACATATTTCAGAGTATATTATTTTATGTGTCTTTTTTTTTAAGGCTTTCTTTTCGAATTTTAATATAAACTAAATTCATATTTTCTTTAATGCTGCCCCATTTAACTCTTCTATACAGTTGAATTTTTCTTGTCTTTTGGTTGTTTGTCATTGCATTGGTGTTCATTTCTGCATAAACGATATCATGGTCTGAAATTCCTGTTGGCTCTTGTACTAATTGAGTTAATCCACTGTCATCAAGAATATCTGTAAGCTGGTAGCGTTGTTCTGCATGTTGTGTTCCTTTGCCTAAGGTTTTGTTTGTCCAATTCCATCCTCGTAGGTTAAAGTCACCCCCAATCATTAAGCATGCACATTTTTATGAAGCTCTATTGACAGCTGTTTCAAATTCAGAGAGGCTCTCTTTGTTAGATGTTTAAGGATTATTACATGAGCATATGTAGAGATCTTTTGTGCCTTTTTGCTGGATTCTTCCCCATATTATTTCACAACTGATGTCTAGTTCTGGTATTTCTGAGCGTAGAAACTTGTTGTGTATGGCTACGAGGACTCCAACCACAGTTTTATATTCTTTTGTCCTTGGGTTAGATGTTATATTCTGGTGGGAATATTTGGCTGTTAGTGATTGATGAATTCAACCAAGTTTCTGTCATTATCATTACATCTGGCTTTGTACTATCTATATAGACTGACAGTTTATACTAAATGGTATAAATGGTCTATTTCTTCTTTTTCTCTCCTTGGAGTTGGTGTGTGTTTTGGTTTTACATATTCTTGTAGGGATGCTGTATTCATATCATTTTTACCCTCTAGTAATAAGTTAAAGCTATTGTTTGTTGGAATAGCTGTTGAACTATAACAAGGAATTGTAGTTTGAGTTTTCACAAATGATACAATCTCATAGCACAGAGATGTTTTATCATCCACAAGGTAGCTATAGGTTTTACTGTGAATATCTTGGCAGTTGATATGAAACCATTGGTCACATTATTGCATCTGATGGCTCAGTCGCCCCATGTCGCATGTTGCGCAGGGGTAAACAGTGCTGTTACTGTGTGTTGGTTCTGGGTCTGTATTTACATCAGTTGCATTAGCTAATAGTATGAGCAGTAAATAGGATGTTACTGATTTATATTTTATAACGATAAGCTCTAGGTGGTTGTTAACAAGTTACTCAAAATCTTTGTTTGAACCTGTCCTGGCTGTTTTCTTACCCCAATAAACTTACTATATTTTTTTTCTTCATTTTTTCAACTAATTAACCAAATTGATAGTGGTATTGAGGTGGAAGAAAACAGACTTCCTATTAAAATAGAGTACTATAGTGTAATATAGATATAAAATATCTACTGGAAGAATTCCAGGTTCTCCTGATAGAGGAGTGATTTGCAGAAGATAAAGGGAAACTTCATGTGACATATACTATTAGTATCTGTATCGGATTCGACCCGGGACTTGTTAATTATTGGTGTTATTATGTGGAAAAAAAAAGGGCCTGGAATGGTGTAATTTTTTAACAACACCATTGTCCTATAATAGTTGTATATAAAGTTGAATTCTTTGATTCCTCGTTTTTACGTCATGCCGGCCTACAAATCGGACCTCATTATTTTAGTAGTATAGATAGTATAATACAATCAAATTTATATGCTGTAAAGGTTAGTAAAATATTCAAATCAATACTACCTAGGTGAAAGGACTTTATCTTCCATTTACTTAAGTTCCAAAAAAGAAAAAAAAAAATTGGTAGTTGCTCTGCTATTCTACTAAATGCAACTCACTGTCAACTCTTGAGATAACAGAAATAATATGTTATCAGTATTCATTTATTTCATAAACAAGATTTACATCATAACAAAATATTGCAACTAACAATTCATACAACTTAATGTCATACCACATTCATCTCTTATACAAAAAAGCAAATACACTCGCAATACATTTTGTCAACCACTCACTTCATTTATCAACAACTCTTGCACATTTTATCTACCATAACTCAAGGGCATACAATACAGACTGAGAGGAGATCATATTAATCTTTCTTGAATTTTACACAAAGTCAATGTTGATATACAAAGAAAAATGTACCATCATGACTTTTCGAAATACTTCCGTTTGATTTTTGTATGTTTTATATAAAAACACATAATTTCACATTTCAATACTTTTCTGATATTTTCTCCCTAGTTTTGGAATAGTGTTTCTTAGTCATTTCCCTTTATGTTAATTCCAAATTGAATGATGGATGCGTTAAAATTTTGTGAAATCAATTTCATACAATTAAAATTGGATGCATTATTATTTGTGTCTGCTTCTGTATTATATGTCCTACAAAATGACCTACAAAGGTTCATGGTCTACTTTAAATAAAAAGAATATATAAAAAATACAAAAAGTGAAACTAACAAGCATTCTATGATTTCTTTTCATATATATATTTTCATCAAACAGATCCAATCAAATTCCTCAATGTAAAAGATTCCACTTCAATTCAATGCCTTTAAACACATTCACCACTCGTGTAACAAAACAAACTGTGAATTCACTTCGTCCATAACACAACAAATATCCAGAAAACATAACAAATTTATACTTCTGTAACTAAACAGATGTCATGCAATGTTTTATGATCCATTGATTTGATGGCATATGAATAAATTGAAATTTCATAGTAAAACTACAATCATCTTTAAAAATAAAAGTTGAATTTAAACAGAATTAAAATAGTTCAAGAGAAAATATAAAATAAACATAAAGAGATACATATATATAAAAATATAGTAAATAATAAATAGTTATGTAGTATTTCAAAAAGACAACTAAAAGACATTTTTATTTCAGCACTAATAATGTGCATTAAGAAAGTAATATGGAAATGAAAACAACTCATTGAACAAGTGCAGAATGATTAAAAAAATATTGACTACTGATTGTTTAAACTGTCCAAAATCATGTATTGATTCTTCTATCATGTCTGTTTAAAAGAAATAGGTACTCTAAATAGAATTTAATAATTAGCTATAAAAAACACAACACCCCTTTTTTTCTAATTTCATCACCTGCCTTTTCATGATCCTTTAATTTGATACTTATTATCAAAAATATGCAGTATAATTTGTTTTATAGTCATAATTAAGGTCATAACACAATTATTGTTTAAAACAATATTAAATATCTGATTCCATCAATATATGATCAGTTTAGTTACCACAGATCCAACTCACAGATTATATGAAGATTTAATTATGAATCATGATTAATGGTTGTAACTGAAAGCTTGATACCATTCTACAAAGCAGCCATAAGACTAGCATGTAGCCAACTTCTAAACAAAGTATATAACTTATGCCAATTCAAACAGCTGCTTTGGATTTTAATGATTCCCTGAGGCAAGAACTTTTATTTGATGTCACATTGTCTGTGTTTTGCACATTTTACTGCTGGATAATGTCTTTAAAAATAAATCAGTATTATCTAATCTTGGATGTCATTGATAAAACTCTACTACTGTCTTTTGATGAAGATTTTTGTTGCTGTTTTTTCTTCTTGTCGTCATCTACTGCAAAACATTTCCACAACCTTAAAGTTTCATCAGCTCCTGCTGACACAACTGTTGATCCATCTGGTGACATTGCCATGTGTAATACTCTAGCTGTGTGACCTGAATCATAAATTAATCATTTATAAATTTCATGAGCAAAAACATCTTATAAAATTCCTTCTATATATACAAGTTCACATTCATGATGTAATTTACACCATTTTTATAATGCCATCTTAGAATTACAAGGTATTTCAAAATGTTTTATCTAAATATTTTAACTAGAGGCTCTAAAGAGCCTGTGTCGCTCACCTTGGTCACAGATGGATTCATGACAAAATTGTGTTTTGGTGATGGTGATGTGTTTGTAGATCTTACTTTACTGAACAATCTTGCTGCTTACAATTATCTCTATCTATAATGAACTTGGCCCAGTAGTAACAGTGGAAAATATTTTGTAAAAATTTACAAAAATTTACAAAATTTATGAAAATTGTAAAAAATTGACTATAAAGGGCAATAACGCCTTAAGGGGTCAATTGACAATTTTGGTCATGTTGACTTATTTGTAGATCTTACTTTGCTGTACATTATTGCTGTTCACAGTTTATCTCTATCTATAATAATATTCAAGATAATAACCAAAAGCTGCAAAATTTTCTTAAAATTACCAATTCAGGGGCAGCAACCCAACAACGTGTTGCCTGATTGGTCTGAAAATTTCAGGGCAGAGAGATCTTGCCCTAATGAACAATTTTATCCTTGAAAGATTTGCTCTAAATGCTTTAGTTTCAGAGATATGAGCCAAAAACTGCATTTTACCTGAAAATTTCAGGGCAGATAGATCTTGACCTGATAAATTGTTTTACCCCATGTCAGATTTGCTCTAAATGCTTTGGTTTCAGAGATATAAGCCAAAATCTACATTTTACCCCTATGTTCTATTTTTAGCCATGGCGGCCATATTGGTTGGTTGGCCGGGTCACCGGACACATTTTTTAAACTAGATAACCCAATGATGATTGTGGCCAAGTGTGGTCAAATTTGGCCCAGTAGTTTCAGAGGAGAAGATTTTTGTAAAAGTTTATGGACGATGGACGACGGACGCCAAGTGATGAGAAAAGCTCACTTGGCCCTATGGGCCAGGTGAGCTAAAAAATGATGAAATGATGAGTTTTAAACTAAATAGAGATTCCTTGCATCCTGAATCATCAGATGACAAATTTTTCCCTTTTAATTGCCCAAGAGTCTCAATTTTATTAACTTCTAATGAATTTATCTTATTATAAGTTGCCATCATGCTTCAATGTTTTCAAAAGATAAATATTAGTAAATAAGAATCATTTGTAGATAATCTCCGACTGATAAAGCCTGTAAAGTTTCAAACCATTTGTAAATTTTTTTTCAAAGAAAATTTTTAAATTTCTCGATCAGAATAAAAGAATGCCTCTGGCATAGTAAATTTTCCTGGTTAACTAATGGAAGCAAATGTCAACAGTGGACCAAAGAGAAAATTATGTGATACATTAAAACTTTTGTAAATTGTTTCCCCTTACTGTTTATCATGATTGTTAAATCAACACCAAGATTGATTTGTGTGATGTTATGCAGGGTAGACTTGTTTTCTTTTTATTCAATTTAATTTTGGATGTAACATGTCTTCTGATTGGCTGAAAGTTTTTTTGTCTATCAGCTCAGACATAATTTTGTCATGTGACCGTGACGTCATTAACGTTTTTTCATGATTTACTCCTTAAAAATAGAATTTAGAATTAAATTATACAGAATGACTGTAATATTTTTTCTGTCTATTCAAAATAACAAAATAACCTGAAAAATGTGGTGCACACTTTTAAATAAACCGCGTATTCAGTGTGCACCACATTTTTTATGTTATTTCTTAATAGACAGAAAAAATATTTCAGTCATTCCTTAAATAATAAAATGTTTGCTACAAACCTGTTAACTCTGATACTTTAGTTAGTGATGGATACTTCCATATTGTCAGCTGATTCAAAGCAAACCCATGACTAGAAATCAATTCTTTATAATCTTTTGACCACAGTAAAGCACAGACCTGTTAATATGGAAAAAAAGATATATATATATATATATATATTGTTCAGTCTAGGTGTCCGAGTGGTCTAGAGCGTTGGACACAGTGCAGGCAGTGTTGTCTAGATATCCCAATAGCACGAGTTTGAATCCCGGTGAGGGAAGAGCAAAAATTTGCTTCCGCAAATTTGCAGATTTAAGATTGTTGTGCTGATATTTAGAGTAATTATGTATATTGATATATATATTGTCCACTTTGTAAAGCTGGTCTTGGGGATGTGTACCACTATATATGTAAATGTACCAATTGTGAAGTTAAGGATTTAAGGGGGAAGTTCATACCTCCATATTATTTAAAATATCCAAATGTAAAAAAAGTACTAGGCATGCTTAAATATTGTAATAGTAATGTGCTCTCTAAGCTGTCAATTTTTATTCAAAAGGTAGAAAAGATGCTTGTCCAATTTAAAACTGTAATAAACAAAGACTTATTTCTGAAGATGTATAATTCAACAATGTATACTGTTTGTATTATGAACTATGTTGTAATTAATATTGTGTTTAATATGCTCCTGTTACGCAGTCTTCTGCGGCTGAGTTTTCTTTAATAATAAACTATATATTGCATCTGGCATTTGGTATCAATAGCAATTGAAGCCAATTTTTTTTTTATTTTTCCTTTTTGTAAATCTGGTAGAAATTTATTTTGTGCAATATGTCTTTCTGCAGGGTTAATGACATTGCTGTATGAAATCTACTCAAAATGCAGCTGCAAATATGCAATACAATAAGCATTACAAACAGCATGATATGTTACTCCCTGTCAGTTTGAGCATTCTTTGATAGTGTTGTATAATATTGTTTTCTGGCACTTGTGGTATTTAAGTCTATATTGGTATTACAGAGTTAAGTGCCTTTTTTCAACTATTTCATATTTTATATTCAACAAACTCCCAAAATCCAGATTTAAAGAAAGGGTAAATACAAAAAAATAAACCAAGTTGAATTCAGCCATTATTGTGTCTGTCCCAAAACTGGTACCTAGTCAGTGTTTAATGACCTTTATGAAATTTGGTATTGTTAAGTCTTTTAAACTTTATTCATACCTTTCAATATACTGCATATTTATTCTTTTTCAAAGGACACAATAGCTCTGATAATTAAGTGCCAATCTACCTAAGAATCAGGCAGTGGTGAAAACATGACAAACAAAAACCCACTCAAATTGACATTAAGTTATGTTCAAAATGTATAATGGTGCAAAAATTTAACATTCGTTTCCTTTTCCTGTTCTGGTAATTCAAGATATAATTTGGTTGAAATGCACAAGAAATTAACTATTAAGGTTAGCTATCATTCTAACCAAAATTTATCAAGAGATTCCTCTTATTACCAGACACGCAGAAATGAATGACCTACCATTTCTTACTCAGGATGAGGGTAACTTCAAAATAGGATGGTTAGGTCAGTGGGTTTTTTTCGACCATGTTTTAATTTTTTTCAAAATTACCTGATTCTTTTTAATGTTATTTTTACCTGTGACTTTGTGTCAACACTTTGAGCACATGTACCAGTACTACAGTTCCAGAAGCGTATATGTCTGTCAGCTGTGCCTCCTCCACTGGCTAGCAGATTTGGTTGCCATGGACACCAAGCTAAAGCCTATTGAGAAAAACAAAATTAGAAATAAGAATTAACCCTACTTATTTTACAATATTTTTCATTTTGTTCTTACAAGACTTTTCAACAAACAGTTTCAGATTTTTTTCAAAATATATTGTGAAAGTGGCATTTTTGACTTGTTTTTTTTAACATACTCCCATGTCTAATAAACATGTCTTATAAATATTATCTTTACAAATGCGAGAATTTGAAGTAATTTCTGAATTTGACATTTTTTAACAACTTTGATTCTTGTTTTCATAAATTACACAACAACATTGTCTTACTTTGACTGCCGCTTGATGCTGTGTAAATGTATACACTGGTGACGTCTCTGACACAAGACTACCAATATGTGCTGGCCAGATGTTGAGTACGTTATCATTACCCCCGCTGGCTAAATGTCTGCCATCAGGTGACCACTGTAGACCACATACTTCCTGTGTATGACCGTTGAGGGTTCCTATGTGGTGCTGTGCTACTCTTACATCATGATGATGAATGCTACCACTTCTTGAACCACTGTGAAACATTAAAAAAAACAAACATTTAATTCAACAGTGAAATCAAACGTGTCCCAAGATTTTCCATATGATGAGGTAGTTTTTCAAAATTGTTTTTAATAATGTCTAACAACACGAGGAGATATATAACTTATCATTTTCTAATGACAATGTAGACTCTCATTTAATATATGTTTATTTGTAAAGAATTTATTATCTTTCAATATCAGTTTTATTTTTAAAGAGTGATTTTACTTCATTGCGATCACAGGGCTTCGGAATTCCCATTTCCAGGGCAAAGTAAAAAAAAATCGTCGGGTAAACGAAAATGCAGGTACCAGTTTCCCGTCGGGTAAGTAAATCCTCTTTACGTGGTACTTTCCAGTGTGTCATATTCTTGTTTGACAAAGTATGTTTTTGGACAAAATCTAGTTTAGAAACTGGTTTCCTGAAGTAATCACTTGTTTCCTTTTGTTTACAGCGGTACTTAGTTATTATCAGTAAACAGTAATGGAGGTCATGAAGCCATAAGTTTGCATAAATATTTTATCTCCACTGATTCATCAAAGAAACGGAAATTATTAGACTTAAACCTTAAACAGTAATGTAATCAAATCAGACTTTAAAAAAAAATAAGAACGGGAAAGCGAAAACTGATGCGGGAAAGTAAAATTGTAAGATGACTTTCCCATGGGTAAGTGCATTTTCAAAAAAATTCCAAAGTCCTGAATCAAGTTTAAGTTTTTGTGACCCTAATTTCATGGTAAACTAATTTGAACGAAAGTTTTAACCTTATACAGGACAGGCAGATAGGAAAACATATTGCATCGCTTTTAATCGTAGTTTTGGAACAAAATCTTTGTAGTATAATCATGGTGATAATGAAAAGAATGTAGATCTTGACAACATGAGCATGGAGATCACATTTGGTACCTCAGTGAAACAGTAATGTGTTAACCCAGAGCCTGAAAATTTGTGTACAAATTACATATTGATTTTCCTGTAGTACAAGCAACTGCCAGAATAGTTTATTTTTAAGTATCATGGTCTGAAAACAGGTATATTACAGGTCAACAAACTATGACAAATTGGACATTGATCACTAGTATAATTTTACTGTACTCTTCTGAGAAAAAGATGTGTGTCCTAGGACCCACAATAAAACAAAAAGTTGTGTTATCAAAATTGTGTGTCAGGGACCAATCTAGACATGGTACAGAGAACCCTGCATATCCATGTACTTATTCAATAAAAATTCTACCTGCTAAGTATATATGAGTTCCATGCAAGTGAACCAACTCTAGATGCATGCCCTGGCATATTTCGAAGCCTTTTGCCTGCTGTAACATCCCATAGCTGCAAAAAAAAAGAAAATTGTCAGACTATAATATTTGGTCTTAAGTAAAACAGAACAGAATCACAAGCCAGTATTAAAAGTGCACCCTGCTGCATTTGCAAATGACTAGGGAAAGTGGGGAACCCTATGGTGATACTTATACACTAAAATTTTCTGAACAGGTAAATAAATATCAATCATCTATCAAAATTACTTGACTACAAGACCCTTTTATGGTAGTGAAAAAAAGCCCAATGTCTGAAAGACTTTTTGAGAGAGACTGACAAAGAACTAAACTGTTATTAATCAAATAACAGTAGGAACCATTTGTTTTCCAATATTGAGAGTAGGATTTTAGTTCTTTTATTTATTTTACACATAGATTTATTTGTTTCAGTAGCCATAAATAGATCCATCTACTGTCAAGAATTCTGCCTTTCTTGCTACCAACAGTAGTTTTTTTTTTTTTATTTCTTCAATAGTTTTTTAACACTTGACCACTCACCTTTCACTTAATAAAAATAAAACCTAATTCAATGAGTTGGACATATGTTATACCTGTACTTCACCACTACTTGTTCCTAATGCCAAATAATTTCCTTCCTTGACCCAAGACACTGCGCCAATGTAATCTTCTTGACTTTCCACCTGCATTAATTGATTTATATCTCCTGATTCAGCATTCCATAGATACACACTGCCACCAAGGCACACTGCTAGTTGGTTTGTTACTGACCAATCTAATAAATTCAAGTCTGAAATATTGATAAAGAGGATTATTTACAGAACCATTATTCAAGTTCAAGGATTCATATCATACAGTTGTATATCAATACCAAGACTTCATGAATTCAATATATTTTTTTTCTCTACAAACCACACAAACTAAAAATGATTGATCATGATTCATAAATCAGCAAGAATGATCATGATTAAATTTCATGAATAACCAAGAATATGTGTCATAAGGACACTTGACCCTACTAATACTTTCACATTTCCATGTTCAGTGAACTACAAAATCTGGATTTAAGCCCTAATTAAGTTAAGATCATATGTGTATGAAGTTCCATGTTCATGTGCCAACTTTAAAACAAAACTTCACACAGGACGGAGGATTACTATTGTTGGCAGAGCATAACTTTTTTGAAGTTTTTGAATGTATAAAGTAGGCTAGCAAACATGGTAAAAATGGTACATGTGAATGTATCAACTTACAGTAGTCATCAACTATATCAGGAGCGTCTAGGATCCTTTCTGGAAACTGTGGTATATTTCGTGTTGTCTTCTTGACTGTACTAACAGGTGATTTACAAGAGCTGTACAACACTCTTAAATTGTTCTGGTAACCTGGATAATGAAAATCCACTTGAATTAAATACAAGTAACAAAAAGAGTGGACACATCTGCTAGTAACATGTAATTGTAGAAATTACCTTTTGCTTAATCATTCTACCTCTTTATAATCATAACCATTCATTCAGGCTAAATTAAAATATATGTGTGGTTCCAGTTACGCCCTGAAAAGAATAGGGTCGGAAGGTAGGCATTTAAAAATAATTTTTTTGGGGGGGATTGAAAAAAATCATGTTTTCACCAAGTCTGGTTCCGCTAATATACACGCCCTTAGAGAAGTTCACCATTTTCTATATGTTTGGTTGTAAAATAAACAGACATATTACATTTTTAGTTAATTTTGTTGCATTCTGTTAAGAATTTGTTGCATTTTTAGCCGTAATGGAAACTTCTAATAAAAATTAAGATGACAGAAGTTAGTTGTTGAAGTTCACATTCCACAAAATGGGATCTTTAAATTTTAAAATTTTTTGTTCAGAAATGCAAAAAAAAGTTCTAGGGTCGGGTTGGAGCAAAAGGCCAAAAACGGGTGAACATCACACAGTACTATACATCTGAGAATTCACCTACCTTCTGGAGCACTTGGAGCTTTGTTTTTGTAGGAAATGATCTTGTTACTCATAATGTCAGCTCCATTCAAATTTTCACTCATCACTTTCTGGAACTCTTTCTGTGATGGACTTAATAATTCTGGATTCTCTCCTTTCCCATCATTCATTATCTTGAAATGACCAAGGTCAAACTGTGTAGCATTCCTGTTAGGAATAAATCTATCTCCACCACTTGGAGTCTTTGGTGCTTTTGCTGGAGTTTTGGATTTCCCTATAATAAGTAAACATACAATGTCTTTGTACATCAGCATGACAAGAAATCATTATGATATGAATAATGCGGCTTTTTGCCTTATTTTTATACTGAATACGTTTGCTTCTTAGCATGAATAGCATTTCAATTTTATACCATTTTTAGAAATGTATTTAAAATTACACATCGTTTTTTTTATAATGAACCATGTCAATTGTGAATTTCTTTATTATTGATGAGAAAACTTGTTTTCCTTTCCATTTAATACATCAGTTTTTCATACACAGTGTGTTAAATAATAAGATAAACTCAATCAATCTGATAACACATCATTGAAAAATAGTAGCATACTGACTGGAACTAAGACAAAAACTACTAGTACATGTACATCTAGAATACATGTACATTATAAACTTTTAACAATCGATTTATGGATTGATATTAACTAATGCCTCCATGTACTTTTAACAAGCAATTGGTATGATCTGCACATATTTACAAATAAATTTTCTTTGTGTTTTTTCACAATCAATAAGAGTGTAGTGTACCTTGAGATTTAGGTGTTTTTGATCCAGACCCAGTTGATGGTGTTTTAGGATTATTTACAGATCTGTTGACATTTTTCATTGGTGTTTTCGAAGCAGTGCTGATGTTCAGTGAGCTGTTGACTGAGGCATTGCATTCCTCTTTCCGTTGCCATCGAATTGATGGTCCTTTTGACAATGGAGCATCCATTCTGAGGACACTATTCAATTCATTCTCAAAGTTAAACTGTGACATTGGTCAATCAAAATCTTTCTTCTGTCTACAATAGAAATATGATTCTTTAAAAGAAATAGAGTTAGCTGATAATGTTCATTAAAGGTAATAAAAAAATTAAAATAGACATCAAGAATATATATATAATTCTTTTATGTCCTAACTCATTGTCATGAGAATGACCATGGTGAAAAGCAGAGTCCTTGCAAACAAGCCTGTACTTAGGACACACCAAATCGATAACTTCTTCCTCGTCACTTCATGCTGTAAACGGTAAAAAAATCCCACATCTGGCTCCAAATTAACATTTAAAAAATCAGTCATGAGTTTGAAAGAAATATAATGCAACATTGTTTTCAACACAAATTCTAGATTTCTGTAGAATAGAATAAACATATATATATGGTCGAAGCCAATCAAATGAGTTAGACCAAGACATGTCATTTACAATGCTGTTGAGTAATTTTGTTCATCCTAGGCTAAATCAAGTCACGAAATGCACAAACTTGTGCCTTCAAGAAACCAATCACTTTCAATATTGATATCTACATGTAGTAAGTTTTAATCAACTTTTTCGACACTAGGAGTCAGAAGCATAAGAAATTAATAGGGTATGGCCTTAATTAACCCTTTGACTGTGCTAGGGACATATGTGTCCCTCTTTGGAACACATGTATGACAAAAAGTTTTCCAAACAAACAAAAGAATAGTTACGAACTTGAATACTTATATAGCACATATAATAGAATTACTTAAATTTAAACAAATAACGATATAATGTCATATTGTCGGAAACAAATATGACTTCAAATAACGTTTCTGCACAACTTTAAATGAAAAATACTGCAAACACTACAACATTCATTCAATAAACTTTGCAGTCATAGGTTAAAGATCAGTATTTTTCAGTAATTAATTACTGCCCTTAATATCTAAAAGTCTTTAAAATAAACATCTGTGTACTGCCAGACTCCTACATAAATGAAATTAGGGTTCAAGCTACATTTTGTACTACTACGTCATTTGGTCTCTGGTGGAGAGTTGACTATTTGCAATCATACATCTTATTTTTCTACTAGGCCACTAGGAGGATTTCCTGTCCATCACTTCACTTTAACAGACCTCCAAATGGGATATCTTGTCGTCCAGGTGTTCACAAGTAACTTTGGTCATCTGTAATTTTCCATTATTAAATATAAAAGACAATTATCAAAATGGTCAGAAATGTGTACTTTTCCCACTATTTTTTATCTTCACTGCACATTTCTTTGATTCTCATATTATAAGAAACCCAAGTGCTTAATGCATATAAATACGCTAAACACTCGTTTATAATCTTGAAATGAGGAACAAATTTCTGAATTAAATACTCCCCCCTTTTTTTCAAACATAGTGGATTCCACACCGTTTTAGTGTTAAAATGTTTTTTCAAACCGTTTCGTAGTAAAAATCATTTGTCGTTACCTTTCTGTTTCCTGTTTATAAGGTGTTTGTTCAATATTCACTGAATTTATTGTTGTTTTGATTACTGTTGACAGTTTTGTTTTTCTTGTTTGGACAAGCTTTTTGTGTTTAAAGTTTGCCGCCTCGTAATTGGTCCGTTCAATTTTGTAATACAACATTTCATTGGTCCATTTTCCTAAACAAAAGTTCCAAGTTGTTCTAAAAGAAATATTTCGTTCCGATATGTTATGTCGAGATTCGATTTTTTTTTACAATATTCCAGAGATTGACTCGAACTTTAAAAGTATAATAGCTCCAGCTGACAATATCAAAGTTATACTTTTAAAATATGATAAATGTCAAGGATAAACATTACTAATATTATAATAATATAGATCTGTGCGAACACATTTTTTACCAAAGTACTACTGATTGTTACAGTTCTTGGCCTAATATTCATAATTTTTTGTATATACTTCAAGCGTCTATAGTAAGTCTCTCACTATCAAATTGTGTAATTATAAAAAAAAACTGCATGGAATATTAGATCTCATATAGTGTCATAACTTTACATTTGTCATAATATTTGACTATTGTTCTCTGCTGTCTATATCCATGTTTTATATTATGTAATATATGTCACTAGTTAATTTTGCCATAGCATGTTTATGCTTTTGCAATAAAGATTCATTCAATTATGTTCGAAAATTCATAGATTATGCCTGAGATTACTAACTATAGCATTCCGGTTAATCCAACTTCTTGAATTAACATATTCTGTTTATTCCAATAAAGAAAGAACAATAGATGTTGTTTTAACCAAATATGTTGTTTTAGTCATTACAAGTATTAATTTAGTAGCAAATAGTAATAAATGCAAAAACTGGGCAACTTGTATTAAAAACTGTTATATGATCTTGGTATGAATAATTATTGGGACAACCAATGGGTACTTTGTTTGGATAGCTCATTTTTACAATTAACCAAACAACGGCTATATATGAACAAGCTAAACAAGAGTTACATTTTTCGCTTGAAACATCACCAAAGTGTAGAATATATAAGTATATTGTGTCAAATGTAGAATTACAATTTTATTTACGAAAATGTATTCCTATAATGTCTCGTAAATGGATAACGAAAATTCGTATGTCCTCACACAATCTATGTATTGAAACTGGTCGTTTTTATGGAATAAGTGAAAATAGTAGAATGTGTATGATGTGTATATATGTCTCTGTATAAATGTAGTAGAGGATGAATTTCATTTTATTTTACTATGTACAAATTATAGTGATATACGTAAGAAGTTTATCAAGAAATATTATTGGTCTAGACCTTCAACTTATAAATTAGTACAATTACTTTCTGTTGAAAACACTAAGGAACCAATATTTAAGACATATTTATGTTATATGTAGTCTGAAACTCACAAACTGTATAATATGTGACTGATATTTCTGACGTTTATTATTTATATGTTTCACTTTGTTAACGCTATACAACTTGTAAATTGTATATTTATGCATACTATACTGATGAACTGTATTGTTCAAAGTAATAAAAGATTGAATTGAAAGTAACTAATTAAATCATAGGTAAATTCGTTGACGGTTCAATCCTCGACTAGCTACATTCTTTGATCTGCCGACAAAAGACAGTTAGAAATATGTCGGCCTTCAAGGAATATAGTGTCTCATTGAAATTAAGTGTAGTCAAAACAAACAGTAATTATAATTAATGCAGTACATAATCTTAGACATCCAATGAAATTGCAAGGTAATCTTACATTTTTTGTTTGCAATGAATAAATATTTTATATGTATTTTTCCTGCTTGATTGAAACGAAGGAACCTTTTTTTTTTTGAGGAATGATAAAAAAAACTTTGTAGCTAATGAGAGCATTTTTCAAGATAACTAAAATAGGAATGTCATCTAATCTATTTATTCGAGCAAGGATGTGTATGTGCACTATACAAATCCTTGATTCAAGTACCTTTAAATGATGTTTATTCGATCATAAAAACAAGCACATAATTATATTACATTGTATATAAAAAGATATAGAACACTTAAAATGCACAGAAACAAAGCACACGTCATAATCAAATCATAAATAAAGCACATATATATATTTAAAATATACTACATAAATAGTCATTGGCTTTACAAGCACACACTATCTTGTTATTCCAGTCCAAGTGTAGTAGGTACGTGCCATAAGTGACCTACGAACTGATAGTCCAAATCTCTTTGCTCTAATGTCTGATCTTAAGTTAATTTTTAATGTATTCAATTTCCATTTATTTAACAACATAATCCCATGTTTACACTCAGGAATTTCTAATATTTTACCTATGAAATCCAAAATGTTGGAATAGGCACATGATACATGTACATGTATGTATGAACATAGATATAAGAAGATGTGGTATGAGTGCCAATGAGACAACTCTCCATCCAAGTCAAAATTTATAAAAGTAAACCATTATAGGTCACAGTACGGTCTTCAACACGGAGCCTTGGCCCACACCGAACAGTAAGCTAAAAAGCAGTGGCGGATTTACCGGGGGGGGGGGCACAGGGGGCACGTGCCCCCCCCCCCCAGTCGGGGTCACCAAACAATTTCCTAGCATAGTTTTATTGTTACTGTATCTGCTTATCTAGATCGAAAATCAGGACACAGCTTGATTTGTCTTCCTAAACTGGTCGTTAATTAACCCCAGCTTCAACATGTGTGATTTATGACAACTTATCGATGGGTGTGTAAATATTGACATCTTTGTGTAATGTCTATATCCAAAAGAATTTATGCAAACTACATGTACATGTACATGCTGATTGGAATTAATACGAATATATTTATTGTTTTTTAATACAATATTACAGGATCAAGATCGATAAACAAGTGAAATCTTCTGATCAGGAAAGAAATTACCAACTAAAATCGGTCTTAAAAGAATATGTAAAAATAGATGTTAAGTGTCAAGAATGTTAGTATCGATATGAGATAAGTCTTTTTTACCAAACACTCACATTGTATACGGTTTCTGGGGAATGTGCCTGTCTCAGAACAGTCTTTTTCTGACTTTATTAAACAACAAACGATTTTTTTCAATGCATACAGCATTTTTTTTTAAACTGAATGATGTGTTTTTTCCCCTAATTTTTTTTTATGGAAACAAAACCTTCCCCCTCCACAAAACATGAATGGTCTGTGCCTTATATATAATCATTAATAAAATGATATTGTATCTTAGAAAAACTACTTGTATTTGAGATGAAGAACAGCAATAAAAGTTTATTGTGTGTTTTTTTGCTGTGCATGTAGATTTTGTGTCATGGATGGATACCCCATATCCTTTGTTATTATAATAGTACAGTAATATGTGAATATTTTTTCTTGTTTTGATTACCATGTATGAGGGTATGAATAGGTTACCGTGAATGAGGGTATGAATGGTTTACCGTGAATGAGGGTATGAATGGGGTTTACAGATTGGAGAATAATGGTCAAAACGTGAAGGCTAGAAAAAAATTGGCCCAAAAGATATAGAAAAGATTAAAGCTGTGATGAACTGTAAAGAGTAGAGGACAATTGGCAGCAAATACAAGAGTAGAAAGAAATGGACCCAAAAATAATGAAAAGATATATAAATGACCCCCCCCCCCCCTAAACAACCACCATCATCCCCAATACATGACACCACCACCTCCCACACTCACATATATGCATATATAAAAAAATCTTTTTAATTTTGGTTTCATGGTGCCCCCCCCTCCCCCCCCCCCCCCCCAGACATCGAGGTTCTGGATCCGCCCCTGCAAAGGGCCCCAGAAAATTACTAGTGTAAAACCATTCAAACGGGAAAACCAACGGTCTAATCTATATAAAAAACGAGAAACGAGAAACACTTATGAACCACATCAACAAACGACAACTACTGAACATCAGATTCCTGACTTAGGACAGGTTCAAACAAATGCAGCGGGTTTAAACGTTTTAATGGTACCAAACCTTCACCCTTTTTCTGAAACAATAGTGTAACATCACAACATAGAAAGACACACTATAAAATATCATCTGAAATAGCTTAACTCAATTAAAGGACATATGAACAGTACGTATGAACAAGGCGTTTTCTATTCAAAAGACACACTATCGAATCTAACTACAAAATTCATATACATTTTATTATGTTTCAACAAGGATACTCAGTTTCAGCTTCAAGTTCAGACTGTGCACCTTCTGGAAAACTAATTCACTCATTGAACAAAATAACGAATATGGACACCGGTGTATGCAATGTAATGCACTGCAATGCAACTTTTATTAATAAATCTCATATTAAACGACAACTGGAGAGTAACATTTAATAAAAATGTTTTAAAATTGGATTTGTGTTAAATGATTTAACAGTAAATTCGTCTTGGAAATTCGTCAAGATTAACTTTAATCAATTTTTGTATATGAAACCGAAACAGATGCAGGTTTTTAGGCATTTTTTTCCCTCGCATAGTTGTCGCCCCTGAATGTCCGAATACACGTTGAAGATAAACCACGTTGCACCGACTAAACAACTGAAAGTGAACAAATAAAGAGACTTACATCTACAACCATGGTGCACCAGAGAAGTTTCATTTTTATATCATTTATAATTTTTTCTTTACTTCATATCGTAAAGAGCAAAGACGAGAACGACATAAAATTTGCAAGCAAACAAAGTGGATATCAAAATGCAGACGACGCTTTTGATGAAGACGATGATGGCAAAAGTGATGAAGATGTTGACGAGGAAGACAAAGATGAAAATGTGAAAGAACATGGTAAAAGTGACGATAGTAGGAATTTTTACAGCTTTACCGTGCTTGATTCAGAAGGAAAGGGTGTTGACTTAGGAAAATACAAGGGAAAGGTATGAACAAATTTCGACAGAATCTCATAATTTGCAATATTTAAAACTTTTAAATGTCATGTCTTTTGGAAAGAATTTTTTATTAAACATTTTATTTAAAAAGACTCAGTTAAAAAAAAAATCTTTTTTGGCATTATCAAAATTATCAATCAATGTAGGGAATAGTTTCCCTTACACCTTATCGCTATTTGTTTGCCCACAGTCGCCTGAAGATTTAATAATTATAGCGAAAAAATGGAGGAAATAAAATATTTATAGTAGTATTATATAGTATGATAGAAATCTTCAGGCAACTGTGGTTTGCCATAAGTTAACTGTCCATCACAGATTTTCCTGTAAAATTTTGAAGCTGCAAACGTAGCAAAAATGATTGACTTAATATGGATCAAGAGTTGCAAGATCATGTCTTCAAGGGTTAAGTGTCACAGATCCTGAAATAACGATCAGGTCTATTCTGTGGTTGGTCCCCAACCTGTTAAATTTAACAATTAGATGGAGAAGAGAAGAGTTCTGGTCAGTGGAGTAAGTCTTAATCGCAATGATCAATCATTAGACAACCACATCAACATAACAAAATATAACAGCAGGCAAGTTTGAATATTTTATTGCAAATGAACACACCATAGTTTTTGATTATATAAAGACAAGACTCATGTGCTAAGTGCTGTAGAAATAATTTTTTTTTTATTCAGACAATAATGATTAAACCAGAGTCTACATTAATTTTGTTTAAAATACAATGCTGACCGTGCTTTTTGGTTGTATACTAAAAGTCTGTTCATTTAACAGGACGGCACTGCTCTACATACATGTATTGAACTTAAGTCAAAATGATAATGATGATAATAAAAAAGCTTTTTCTAAAGTTCACATGGTTCAAACCATATATATACCCTTTCTGTGAATGGGTACACCTCTAACAAAAGAAATAAACACACCATAAGCTCTATTAAATTTTTGACAGACATTCAAGACATTACAATACAACAAGTTAAATAAAACACATCTTAAAAGCACTGTTATTATGGATGGTAAATATCATTAAAAATAATAAGCTAAATGGTATATTATTAGCAAAAAAACAATAAAAGCTGATACATATTCAAAACTATAAAGTATATGTATATGATGTAATAACTAAAAATACTGTGACTATAAAAGAAGTGCTTCAATTCAGTTCATAGAGTAGAGGCTTATTGACCACTTTAGCTCAGATTTTAGACCTATGGCTGACTATGCAAAGGGTCTAGAGTTTGATTTGTGGATAGTACAGTGGTCATTTTGGTGTACTGTTATGTTAAAAAAATATTTTTAAAGGTCAACACATGGTTTTCAACAATAAACAAGCTTATATTTTAAGTTTCAACTCTACATCACATTGAGTCTAAACAAGTTGTGAAAATATTTAACTGTTACAGACTATTAATTATTAATTTGCCACTGGATGTTAAAGAAACAACAATCAATCTGCCATCAATTCTTGTTCCTCAAAGGAAAAGAAGCACTAAGATATAAACAAAGGCAATCACATACAAGGCTTGTTACAGTTATTTTGGACAAGGACAATAACAGGGGTTGAACCAGTTTTTATGTGTAGAAATTTGGGCCGTCTAGATATGCATGTAATAGAATAGAGAATGGAAACATGGAATGTCTCAATGAGACAACAAACAGACCAAAGAGCAGAAAACAGCCTAAGGCCACCAATGGGTTTTCAAAGCAGCGAGACAATCCTGCACCTGACTTGACCTAACTTTAAACCAAGCAATGAAATCAACGTTCACTCTTCAATTTCCCTTTGTCAAGCTTTTGTTGAGGATAGTATATACATAACCAAATTAGAATTGAGATAAAACAAGATAAGAGATGAGATAAAAGACATGTAAATTACAATGCATCAAGATTACAGTAGCCCACTTGCATCTTGTTAAATTCATTGTTATCAATTTGATATTGCCTTTAATAAAGCATGTAGATATTATACTTTTTAAGATCACCTTGGTAGTAAATGTAGCATCAGAATGTGGATATACAGATAACCATTACAAAGCACTATCAAAGATACATAACCATTTAGTTACAACTGGACGATTTTCAGTATTAGCTTTCCCATGCAACCAGTTTGGAAAACAAGAGCCAGGAGTAAGTACATAATCTCTTAACATATTCTTCACAGTTTTAGTTAAAGGTGTTAGTTTTCATGATTTAATTTCTTGTTGCATATATCATACATCGTAAGTTGTATAGTTAGTTGCATATATTTTTGACATTGAATGTTGTGCACTGGACTTTTTTAATTCAGTGATTCAGCTAGACTAAAGGATTTTCAGGTCATTTCAATTTTATAAATAAAAAAAACATAACATTCTTTAAAAAGTTGAACTAAAATTTGGTTATAATTTCTGACAGAGCGCTATTCTGATTGTGTGACCAATGCTTTGGGAAATTGGGACAGCTGCATACATATCAAGTCAAATGAAATATGCTGTCTGATTAATTTGTAGATGTTTGGATATTATTTTAAGGTGGAAAAAAATGAAATCTGATATGATTAGAATTATACATGACAGCATTTCTAGTTTCAAAAATATCCAATTTTAAAGTACAGAAAAATATATACAAGAACAGGAAATAACAATTTATTAAATTTAGAGGTACTTTAGAAATCATTTAAAACAATGAATGCCGGTTACCATACCAGCCATTAACACATAAGGAGGTTTCTGTGCATTTAAAACACATATTTCCAGTTGAAGTTATTACTTTAAGTCCTCAACATGATATTTTTACCCTTACCCAGCATCTTTCATGTCCTTATTGTTGATTTCCTCCTACTCTGTCTTTCAAGAAAAGTAACAAACAAAAAAAAGACATTCCCCTAAATTGAACAAATAAAAATTGGAAAAAGAAAATAAATAAATTCCATGTAGCATGAATATGAAATAAAATTAACATGCATAACCACAGTCAATCTATGAGGATTTCTTGGATTTCAGTGTTTTAAATTGTGTATAAAGTTTATTAGTGCCAAAGTTTATTTCTAGATCCAATTTATGATTTTGAACTTGTTTTTCCTGGACATCACTAATTTATACTCAGTATGTCAAAATTTATATTGAAAGAACGTTTAGACTTTTCAGTCACTATATATATTAGTTAATACTTTGTAATGAACATTATCAATTTTGTTAGACAGTCCTCTCAGGACAAAGAACTGTACCTGGAAATCAATAGTTTACGTTTTTAGTTTGATGTGGCAATCATTTATTATGATGTGTCCTATATGTGGACAATCTTACCACATCATCAAATATAAAATGTATTTTATAAAGGTGTGAACTATATTGATTCCCATGATTTATAGAAATGACTATTGTTAACTTGACTTCTTAGACAAACAACTTTACACAATCTGGACAAGACAGCACCAGATGTTACAGTCAATGTGATCTATAAAAATATGTTGTATTATAGTATTATTTATCAATGATTTTATGATAAAAGGCATTGATTGATATTTAGTGGCTTAAAATTTTAATTCTCATGTCATAGAATCTTTATATGTTATACAGACCAGGTTTTACTCTTTTGCTTTCCAAGAACTAGTTCAAATTGAAATGATTGGAATTAAATACTCCTCATAAATGATAATGTAACAATTAACTGGTACATTAAAGGTCACATGCAGTTAGTTGGAATGATTTTTTATGAAAATTTTAAAAATGTTCACTGTCCTTCTGAAAAATATGTACTGTTAAGTCCAATAGTTTGCTATGAGTCAAAAGCTGTATAAGAATTAAACCACTTAATCATACCACCATTGCTTTCTATGTTAAATAAAGTGAAAGTCTTCAAAAGTCACCACCTGGGAGATCATTTAGGGAACTTTAACTCTTCCTACTCAAATTTCTATCGCCTTGATCACTGGGCAACTGTTGGTGTAGATCCCTGTCTTACCGCTATTTTTGTATGCATTATATGTTTATACATTTTGTATTAAACTTGAACAACTTTTAACAATTCGTTGTTAAAATCTATAAATCTATTAAAAAGTTTAATATTTCTATCAGAGGTCTCCTTTTGACTAGAAAAAAAGAAGAATGTTTAAACCAAAAACTTAAAGTAGAAACCAACAAGACTGAATTTTACTAAAATGAGGAAGATTTAAGGCAACCAGGGTGCAGAATGGCCTGAAAAAAAACCTAAATTTTTGTTTGTTATTCTCTTGAAAAATTGAAAACATTGGTAATCATAGACTCCAGCAATTCCACTATTACACTTTGATGTAGAAAATCCAGTCTACTCTGTAGGTAGCCTGGGATCCTGACTCTCTGCTTGACAGTAGAGATAGGCAGCAAACAACATATATTCATTTATTGGATGCTAGAATGATGCATCTTGGAATAGCATCATTTCCTGACACATGGTCCGAGTACACAGTTATCGTCCTTTGATTTTCGTTGTCCACAAATATAGCCCCTAGTGTGGACAGTGTGTTACCTGCCAATTTTTTTTATACCCCTTCCAAATTTATTTCTCCATGTTTTATGCCTCAAATAGCAAGTAGGGGGATGAAATTACACTGTAAAAAAAATATGGGTCATGAATTTTAAAGTAAAGTAGTGATTTGGTCCAGCTGAAAAAGGTTAAAAATAAGCACTTCGGAAGCTGTCAAAAGATTTCAAGACCCCCTTAACATAAACTTGTCCATATTTTGAGTTAGAGCCGATGAAGTTTTCTATAATTTTGATATAATTTGTCCCAAAAGTAGTACAACACACTGTAAAAATATTATTGAGAAAGCACAGGTGGGATTTTTTTAATTTTCATTTATTGTCTAAAAGAAATGCACTACGAATTATAACTGTGTACTCGGACCACATGGTGGGAAATATTAATATTGTCACAAATTTCTTGAAAGTTATTCTTAAATTCATAAAAAAAAAGCAAATTCCAGAAAAGTATAGGCTGTATAATCCAAATATTATTGAGTAACATCGTGAATCACCAGTTAGTTCCTGATCCAATCGATATATTCATTGTTTAAAGAAGACACACATGCGCAGTAATTCAGTCCTGTTCAGGACTGAAAAGTGATCACATGGATTGTATTATGCCTGGCTGTACTGACACGAAGAGGAGGTTTGGCCAGGATACCAGGCTTCTCTGTAGGATGAACACTTTATAATATATTTATACTAGATTCATTACACTTATACTACTTGTATGTGGAGTACGTTAAATAAGCTTAATTTGGACTATTACTTGAATATTATGATATCTGAAAATAGTCAAAATATTGTTGATATACCATTTCATCTCTCTTTATTATTTTAATATAAATCTTTTTTGCAGACTAATGAAGAAATCCAAAAATTTGCAAAGGATAGATACAGAGCTAAATTTCCTGTATTTGGAAAAGTTAATGTTATTGAAAGTGATGTATCTCCAGCATGGCAGTACTTAATAGGTAAGCTGATAAAGAAACACATTAAATAACTTAATTTTGTATCGATAATGGAGACTTAAGTTCCCTGTGCTTCCTCATTTAAATTTTAAGGCTCCAGCTTAAAAGCACCTGTAATTGTACATGTATTGTCATGAACAAAAAAAAAACAAAAAAAAAATTTAATATCAGTTGGTTTCTGGTGTAAAATGTTTGTCTATTTATGAAATTTGCATTGAATTTCACTGAAGGGGATAATCAGTAAAATTTGTCTTTTTTGATTGATTGATTGGTTTTTTTTTTACATTAAGTTCAGTGGCAAATATTTTATGCATATTCAGGAAAAGTATTTTTTAATTGAATAGCACAAGTTTTCACTTATGCCAAGGTAATATAATTGATTTTCTTCCAATTATGGCTGCTTTTATACAGCACTCAACCATATAATTAAACATAATTTAAACATTGTGTTAGTTAAAGGTAAAATAACTAAAATACCAAACTCCAAGGAAAATTCAAAACGGAAAGTCCTTGATCAAATGGCAAAATCAAAAGCTCAAACACATCAAACAATTGGAAAACAACTGTCATATTCCTGACTTGGTAAAGGCATTTCCTTAAGTAGAAAATGGTGGATTAAACCTGGTTTTATAGCTAGCTAAACCTCTCACTTGTATGACAGTCATATAGAATTTCATTAATAAATTGTCTTGAACAGTTAACCACTTATTTCAAGCTGTGACTGGTAGCAAATTCATTATGATATCAATATAATTTTCATATCATAGGCAACATCACTATTGTTGACCTATCAAATTGTAGGGTTTCACACAATAAAAAGACTGAAAACTTTGGGAAGACACAAATTCTCACTTGGTGGTTTCATAGTTATAAGTAGATTTTAAAGATCGCATGTTGAAAATCTTAAATTTAATAATTTTGAGAGTGAAGAAATACTATTACACATTACAGTAACAAGAGAAAAATCTATATGTAAATAGCATGTGGATCAATGAAACTGGGGTGGGGGGGGGGGAGAAAGTATTTTAATTATAATTACACCTTATGTAAGAATCCTGGGTTTTGATTGGTTGATAGCCAGTGTATTTTTCACCAATTTACTGTTATCAAATGAATATCGTTCATTTTTTAACGCCGCCAGGGTATATGCAAACAGGATATGCCTTTTTTACCCTCTCTGCCATGGTATTTGCCAAAAAATACTCTATCCAACTGGACGCTTGTAACGGCACGATCATCAATGCGTTTTTGAACATTTACATTCGGTGTAATTAAACAGATATAGCATGATCTTGAGGGGTATTTGCGAAAAATACCAGTCTTGAGAATGAATTTCCCTCGCCTTACGGCTCGCTAAATTTAACATTCTCTCGACTGGTATTTTTCGCAAATACTCCGCCTTAACATGATATATCTGTTCAAACAACAAGAATTATTACTAAACTGATTTTAATTTTTGAATGAGTTTATATAGATATAAGAAGATGAGGTATGAGTGCTAATGAGACAACTCTCCATCCAAGTCACAATTTGCAAAAGTAAACCATTATAGGTCAAAGTGCAGCCTTCAACATGGAGCCTTGGCTCACACCGAACAGTAAGCTATAAAGGGCCCCAAAAATGACTAGTGTAAAACCATTCAAACAGGAAAACCAACGGTCTAATCTATATAAAAAAACGTGAAACACTTATTCACCACATCAACAAACGACAACCACTGAACATCAGGTTCCTGACTTAGGACAGGTGCATAAAAATGCAGTGGGTTTAAACGTTTTCATAGGCGCCAACCTTCACCCTACCTGAAACAATAGTGTAACATCACAACATAGAAAGACACACTATAAAATATCAATTGAAATGGCTTAACTCAATGTTTTGTTTTGGTATAACTAACAATTATTCTCTTACAGATGAAACTGGTGAAGCTCCTTCCTGGAATTTCTTCAAATATCTTGTCAATGAAAATGGTGATGTACTGCATGCATGGGGAGCATGGACATCTGTTGATGAAATCTATTCAGTAGTGCAGGAAGCAGTGACGAATGCAATGAGAAGACCAAAAACTGAACTGTAATTTGTAACTTGTTATGCACAGACATGCAAAAAAATTACTCACTGAAATTTGTTCACAGTATATTCTGTAGAACCCATGTTAAAAAGTGTTTACATACTTATAGGGGTTTTTACATTTTCTTCACAGGAAATATTGATCATTGGCTATTTAACTAAATTTTGTATCACACACATCTTCAAATACATACCTTATTCTTTAATGTGTAAACTTTTCATAGGATAATTTTTATGGATGAAATCTTTTAAGTCCTGGGATAAAAAAAATTCCCAATTAACAGTTGTTTAAAATATAGAATGAACACATAACTGTATGAAAAATGTCATTCGAGACATATATCCAAAAATTATCAAATATAGCTTAAATTTCTCACAGAAATGTTTTCATAGACCCTGTCTATCACAAAATTAATTGGGCTATATGAATTATAGAACAATAAAAATCGTACATAGCCCACTTTTTGCATGTCTGTAGTTAGTATTGTTTGTGCCAGTTACTTATCACTTTTAAACTTATGGAAACATATCAAATCATAATATATTGTGTATATGAATGTGTCTTATTTGATGACTTAGATAATGTAAAGTTTTGTCATATGTAATATTTAAAATCTGTTTGAATTTTATTATTGTTTCTACATGATTTGATTTTGTATTTAGTTTTCAATTTTTTCTCATCTATGATACTCTTAATATAGGATTGAATTTCGTTTGGAAGCAGTCGTCAGTGTCTTGATTTTGACTGAAGACAATTGGAACCATGCAAATTATCTAGCCTTTTTTGTGTGCCTTTGCATACATAGAATAGTTTTCACAAAATAACATTCAGCATTGTCCATCATAGATATAAGAAGATGTGGAATGAGTGCCAATGAGACAACTCTCCATCCAAGTCACAATTTGTAAAAGTAAACCATTATAGGTCAAAGTACGGCCTTCAACACAGATCCTTGGCTCACACCGAACAGCAAGCATCATCCTCATATTTTGTTTCATCGCAATGATTTCTAGGATTTCCATTGGCCGAAAAGGTTCTCAGTGTGGCTTTAAGGGCACACATCTGTATTTATATACTCACAGACTGTAGAAAATTGGCTATTTACTTTTCTGTCTGTTATAAAAGTTCACAATCTTTCTCAAAGAGGCGTACCTTGCCTTCTACTTAGTAATAAACTCATCATTAAATTTAGCCTGCTTCTTTAAAATTTCAAGTAAACACTGTCATAGGAATTAGGAGTTTATAAATAAGTTTGTCTCAAGACGTTCCTTTTATTTTTGTAGCTAAGTTGTCTGCATTTTTTTCCTTTTATGCTATCTTTTTATACGGCCGCAAAAATTTTTTGCGGTCGTATATTGGTATTAGCGTCGTCGTCCGAAGACACATTGGTTTTCGCACAATAACTTTAGTTTAAGTGAATGGATCTCTATGAAATTTAAACATGAGGTTAATAACCACAAAAGGAAGGTTGGGATTGATTTTGGGGGTTATGGTCCCAACAGTTTAGGAAGGAATAAGGGGCCAAAAAGGGGCCCAAATAAGCATTTTTCTAGTTTCATGACAATAACTTGTGGAACAGTGTATGGATCTCTCTGAAATTATACCACAAGTTTCCATACCACAAAGGGATGGTTAGGATTGGCTTTGAGGGGTTATGGATCAAACCTTTTAGGAATTAGGAGCAAAAAAGTGAGAAAAAACAAGGACAATTACTTAAGTACAAATTACAGTGTAAGGGAGGTAATTCAAAAACTACTTTGAATTACCTCCATTACACTGCTTTTAAATTATGTATAAAGAACTTTTGCTGTGATTAGCTGTCAATTCAATTTTAGAAGTTACTATTTTAATCATTTTAAAAATGCTGATTAAAGTAGATTAATTTTAGCTATGATTATGTAAGTCATTTTCTATTTTAAGACTTTTATGATGTATTTAAATGGGTTATTATGGTTGCAAACTCCATGGAAATTTGAATTGAAATTATGACCATGACTGAGGGAAAGAATTTTTTTTGGAAAAAGAGGGGGGGGAGGTTAAAAAAATATTGGGGGGGGGACAATTTTTTCTCCTCAAGATTTCAGAAATCAAATAGAAAATCCTTCAAATTTTTTTTTGTTGAAAAAAAAGGGGGGGGGGGGGGGTCAATTCGCAACAGCATAGTGTATTGCACAAAAGCAAAAAATTGAATATAAATTCAAATCATATAACCAATTCTTAGTTCTTTGACTACAGTTATTCTGTGTCAGAAACCTATTATGTGTCAAATATTGAATTACAATCCAAATTCAGACCTGTATCAAGTGCGAATATTGTGTCCATTTTTGCCCCAACTGTTCAGGGTTGGATCTCTGCGGTCATATCCAGCTGCGCTCAGCGAAGCAATTTATTTAATATAAGAAGGTATTATAATCATTCTAAAAAAAGTAATCACCTGCCACTCAAAACTGCTGTTTGAGAGCAATTTGACCACCTTTTTTTGTGTATTAAAGCTAAAAAATTAATGTACAAATTTACAAAATGTGTATTTCTGGTCAGATTTGAGAACTATTCAAATTTCAGATTATATCCTAAAATCATTATATATCTTTTTTTAAATATGAATTTTTATGTATTTTTGGAAACATTCTTCCTCATTGTGACTTTATTTTGATACCCAAATTGAATCTAAGAAGTATGATGGACTTTTATCACTGTAAAGTATAAACCAAAGTGACCATTGAGGAAAGGGTACTTTACTGACAGAAACTGGTTAGAATTTTACCACAGATATTTGTTATGATTATTTTAACCCAAATTGGTCAACAAAAGTTTGTGTGAGAATAAACTTTTGAAAGATGAACACAGGTTTCTTACAAAGTATCATACTCTTGTGCAAGGGTCCGGAAACGGTCATATATGCCAGTCATGTCCTAAAATGAAACTATTTGTCCTAAACGAGTAATTGGGATTTAGGACAAATTTTATTTTTTTAAAGAAGTAATTTCGGTCATTTCATTGACTCAATGTTTGAAATCGGATTTCTTAATCGCCATTTTGCACTGTCTTGTGTAAGTTGTGACCATTTGTTTTTGTTTATAATCCCTTTCCTGTAATAAAACTGCCACTCCAGTCGTTTGGTAATCCTGAGGGCCCTCCTAATATCTATATCAATGCCTCCGGGAAACATTGGCTAATGATCGCTAATCACTTTACCTGTGTTTTTAATTCACACCTGACAGTGATCACAAGCTCAGAATAATATCTTAACAAAAATTGAAATTCACTGACAAGTGTATTCATTATTTAATTACTTTTCAGCAAAGACAATCATCAAATCTGATTTAAAAATTAAACCTAAATTTACGGAAAAAAAGTATTTTTTCATGTGCTTTATTTACTATATATTACGCATGCGTGAAATTGTCTTCAGCAAATTTAATATTTAATCGTAAAATGCAAATTGATTTCATGCTAAATTAAACGAGTGCAACTATTGTCTGTTACATTCAAACACTTTTTAAGGTAATAAAATAAAAAAAACATAAAAAGCCGGTGATTTCCTGTCAATTTGATAAACAAAACAAATCCCGGAAATGAATCCGGAATTATTCGTACTTTAACTTTATCGCAAACTTCCGGTTTTAACTTTTGTCAAAATCGAAAGAAACGTAAGCAATGTCGGAGAGATTTAACATTTTGAGTCATTAAAATCATTTCAATTTTATACTATTGCCTTCCCTAAACTGTTCTTCATGGTAATGGTAAGACATTTACTTAGTAAATGCGATGAAACAGCAATACAAGTTCGTTGATGCTATGAATCTAGTCAAGTTGACATCGACAATTTGGAAAGGGGCACCAACTTTTCAATCATCTCAAAATGACCGAAATTGTGTGGAAAAATTTCCGGATCCTTGCTCTTGTGATCATAATATGGTAAGGGCTGGTATTTGTCAGTTAGATTTATCAAACTTTTATTTGAATTAGTCATCACAAAACATAATGTATATCTATACTTGTAATTTTATTAGCTAAACTTTTAGTTGCATATAGATCTGATTTCATTTGTGAATACTTGGTTTTATTAGTTCAGTATTTTTTTTTGTCAGAATTTTACATATAGATATTTTACAGTTTTGTTTTATTATTAAATCAGTTTTATGTATTTGAGATATACATTTTTTTTGCCTGTTTTTTTTTGTTTTTGTTTGTTTTATTTTCTTATGAATGATATTCAGATTTATATGGTGTTCCTCAACTCATCATTTGCACAAGTTCTGAATTCTGATCATTAGAACTTTTCCAATATCATGTAAGAGTGTTTGAAATTGTGGTTGTGTTGATACAGATCTGTAGGCCAAATTGTGCTCCTCTGGTAATCCTTTACAAAATAGTTTTAAAATCTTTTGTCATTTTGCATTGTCAAATACTAAATGACTGAATGGCTTTGTGTAAATGAAAATGAATTACCATTTCTATATTGATGTTTGCTATTTTTTTGGTGACCAAGCTACTTTGTAACAAATTTACAATAAGGTTATAATATATTTGTATATAGTTGGATACCAAATTTTGTGGATTTTGTGAGTATAGGTGGACCACAAATGTAAATGTTCAACAAATTATAAATTTTCTATGAGGTTGTATACATACTTTGACAAACCCAAAAAATCAAATATCCATGAAAATACAAGTTTTGCTCAATCTAAAAAAATCTGTATCAACTAAAATAAATGAATCCACAGTAGTTGATTTGTGTTTTTAATCTTATTGTCAAATTAATATTCTGAACTAGTTTTCCAATACAACAGTCATTTTGACCATGCAATTGTTATTTATGATCAAAAGTGTTTTTTTTTCTATTTAAGCATCGTTTTTTTATGAAATTTGAATGATCTTTAACACTTATGACTTGAATTTTGTAATTTAATCTAGCAACTTTTCATTGGAAGTTTAATATATTTGAAGGCCTTAAATTGTCAGAGAAGTAGGTATAAATTCATTGAAGTACCTAGATAGGGACACATAAGGCATAGAAAAAAAAAATTGTTTGGTTAGGGTAACCTGACCCTAATTTTTTTTTAACAATGTGCGATAACTATTGTCAGAGGGTCATCCTGAGCACTATCAATGTCGGAATACATGCTAAAAAAAAAAAGAAAAAAAAAAAGCCTACCTACCACATCTAAATTATTTGGACATGTTACCCGAACCAAACAATTTTTTTGTTTAGGCCTAAGTAAGATGATTAAATTGAATGAAAGTGTATGTCTGTTATCATTATTAGGATATTTTTGTTATGTTGACCTGATTATTTTATATGGTCTTCCTATTTGCAACTTGGTGTAAAATATTGTGAAGCAAATCAATGGACCATTTTTTACAGGTATTGTAGATACTTATCAATTTATGTTTAGTGATATGCATAGGCAGTGAAACAAAAAGGACTTTTCATCAATTATTGTATGAAATAAGGGGTATATAGATATAACCATTGTATCAACTGGGATAGAATATTTCTTCTCATAGAAATTTCTTAAGTAAGGCTTTTGCAGCATTTTAAATAAATAAGCCATACGAAAAACTGGTAAACTTTAAATTCAAACACAAAGAGTTTGCAATAGCAATAGAAAAAATAACAACTTGTTCAAAAGTGGATATACAATGG